TTGTCTCCCCAGAGCCCAGTACATATCAAATCATCAAATGATGATAAACAAATATGCCAAATTCCACCTTGCTTACAGTCCTTTAAATATTCAGAGAAACAGAAAAATACGTGATATTTAGGATATACCTTCCCAAATAGAGCACATCTGAAATCAAATAAGGGAGAAGGAAATTAATCAAAATCAGATATACTAGATCATGGCAGAATCATATATGACCTGAAGAATGGCCTATTTAGTTTTCTTATATTTTCTGGTCCATTTTTTCTTCAAACACAGTATTTTTCTGGTCTTATATTTTCTGGTCTATTTTTTCACTCCACGGCTCAGACTCCTTCTTCCTTTCCCCTAGCCTCTCCCTAAATCTGCCTGCTCCCACATCTATCTTCTCTAAAGTGGAAGAACTCACGCTGTCTTCAAAATCTGTCACCCACCCCCATGCCCCTGTCATTTGTGCTCTGGACAAATAACCCCTGTCACTCTCTTAGGAGCTTACTCTTCCCCTTATCTTTCCTCTACCGAGTCATTTTCTTTGATATCTTTAAAAACAAAAACAAAACACAATAAATTAACCCACTTATTCTTGACTCTACTGTCTTCTCTAGATGTTAGTTCCATTTTTAAGCTACACTCCCAGCACAAAAAAATCTCAAATTTGTTGGTTATACACAATTGTCTCCTCATATTCTATTCACTCTTAAATTCTCTACCAATTTTTTTCTCACCTTACTCCACTCTGACTTCCATCTCCACCACTTGACTAAAATTACCAAGATCATCAACAGTACACACCTTGCTCAATTTCCCATTTTCCTGACATCTCTGTACTTCAACACCTGTCATTCTGACCCACCTAGCCATGGCTCTTCCTCCAGAGACGCTATGGCCCCTTTGGCTTCAGGAACACCACAGTATCCTACCTCACTGGCTGCTTTACAGTCTCTTTTGTAAGTTCTTTCTCCCTAATCATAACTCTACCCTGGAGTTCTTCAAGCCTCAATCTTAGGATCTTTCTCTTTATTTAAACTTTCCCCATGTGGACTCACTCATTTCTTACATCTTCATGCTATCAATTCACTTTTTATCTTTGACAGAGATCTGTTTGAACTCTAAGTCCAATCATAGCTACTAACTCCATTTCTCCATTTGGAGTATTTAGTGACATCTCAAACTCGATGTATTCAAAACAGAACTCTTGATTTTCATTCTCAAAGCCTTCTCTTTCCCACCTTGGTAAGTGACACCACTATCAATTCAGTTACAAAAGCAGACACTTTAGAGTCTGTATTCTAACCACTTCTCACAGAAATCCAATACATCAATAAATCCTGTCTGTTGAGCCAGAAAATATATTTCAAATCAATCTACCTCCCCACAGATTACTGCCACACCTCTAGACCAATGGTCTCAACCTTGACTGCACATCAGAATTGCCTGTGAAATTTTTTAAAATCCTAATTCCTGGGTCTACCTCAAGACATGCCGATTTAATTGGTCTAGGGTGAAGCCTACACATCAGGATTTTTTAAAGCTCCTTAGTGGTTCTCTAATGTCCTGCCAAAGTTGAGAACCACTATCCTAGACCAAATCTCTGTAATATCTCCACAACTGCTTTAATTGCCTCTTCCACCTTCTATTCTTGCCACCTACCCCCATCAACTCCCTATAATCCAGTCTCCATGAGGCAGCTAAAACAAGCTTCAAAAAATGTAAATTGATCACATCACTCCCCTGCTAGAACCTTTCAACAGTATCCATTTGCACAAAAATACAAAATAAACTCCTTTTTTGCCCACAAAACTTGATGACTTCCAACCTTACCTCAAGCCACTCTTCCCCCTGCTGGCTATGCTCGTCACACTGGCATTCTCACTTCCCAGAACATGCCAAACTTTCTCCCATCCCAGAACCTTTGAACTTGGCATTTTTCTGCTTAAAATGCTTCACCTGTCTTAACAAGGTGTTCCTCTCATTCTGTCTCAACTTAAGTGACACCTTCTCAGAGGAGCCTATCATCATCCTAATACAGAAACTCTCACCCTGCAATTCTTATACCACTACACCGTACTTCTTTTCTTTGTAGCATGGATAATCTTTATCTTATTTCTCATCTGTCTCTTCCACTAAAATGGGAACTCAAGAGGGCAGGTACTAAGTCTTATTTCTCCCTGTATTTCTAGTACCCAGCAGTTCCCGATGTTACAATTTATACATAATACGTGATTTCTACCTTCCCCTTTCACATGAACTTGATGAGAAACTTTGAAAAGACCTTTTATAATAGTTCCCAAGGGATTAGGGGTGAGATACATAACCAAATTCCTAAAGAAGATGCCACAAAATAATTATTCTGGTGAATCTCAGAATGGGCACTGGGGCACTGTCAGTAAAGGAAGGGAAAATTACTTAAGTACTAAAGGATATAGGGCCAGAGTAATTTCTAGCTAGATTGGAAGTTCCTCCAGAGTAGGTTTTTGTACTCCCTATACCAATTACAGTGCTTGTCACAGACTAGGTACTCAAAATATATTTACTGCTCAAATAAGGAGGGCTTTTTTTTTTTCCAGATTAGGCAAATATCCACAAACTGAAGACATGGTAGGAAAAAAACACTCATTCCTACCTCATTGGAATAGAATAGGAAGATGTTTTGTAAATTATATCTGATATACACACACAAGGCACATTATATTATGTTAGAAGACAAACTGAGGAATACTTTATTTTGAAATAAAATACAAATGTGCAAAGTAAAAATTAAAATGAGCTATTTTCCCCTTTCTGAACATTGAGTCAACAGGATATGACACTGGGTAAAATGGCAGGTACAGGCAAAGATTAAGCTTGTCAGTGGCAATCTGAAGAAATCAAAGATGGGTAACACTAAAGGAATGACCATTTAGTATCCCTTTCTTTAAGGTACACCCCTTCTGTTACAAACCCTCAGGAACCCAGCACACCTCCTTGCTCCCCTACAATGGTCACTCACGCTCCACGATGTCACTAATGTAATGACTGAAGATGTGGGCCAGTTTGTCCATGTCATGTTCCGATTTGCAGGTCAGGCTGAACCTGTCCATTAATGCTGTAAACCCTGACCAACAAAACAAACATTACTGTGAGCTGCAAATCCTTAACTTCTACACCCTATTCCCTCCACGCATCAGGCCAGGGTAAAGGGAGCAGGTTATCTTCTAGATGACTAATTTCATTGTCCTTGAATAGGGTGTTACTTAGAAAGAACTCAGGGCCAGGCTGGTAGCTGCTGCCTCTGGGAATCCATGTTTACAGGGACTCAGATGGTGAAGATTCACCCACAATAACCCTTTTCCCACCACCAACTCAAGGCGTCCTGACCAAAGGAAATTATAGGATGTCCCCCCACGTGAGGGATAAAAGAAACTATTAACAAGGGGGAATGGATTAAAGCCTTATGGAGGGCTCATTGGTGAGCTACTTGAGGACAACTTGATCTTCATGTCCATGACACATAAACTCCATAAATATTTGTTAAATGAACGACTCTCAAAGCAGCTCCTAGGCCTCTAACTCCCAAATAACTGTATGCGACAGAATGCTTGTTGGGAAATGCTCGATTTTGGGAGAAAACTTTAAGTCCTTTCCCTTTCTGAGTCTCAGTTCCATCACTTAAGTGAACTCAAGTGCTAAGCCAGATCGTCCCGAAAGGTGTCTTCCTGCTCTTAGAACGATCCTCAAAGTTTCCTGCGAAGGCGGTGGCGTGCAGGTAAACCGCGCCGTAAACTGGTCGCGGGGAAAGGCCTTAACGCCGCAGCTCCGCAGCGGAGGCCCCACGGCCGCCCCTCCCGTCACTCTCACCCGTCACGTGGACGCCAGGGAGGACGCCCTGGGCAGTGACGAGTCGAGGTCAGATCCCCGGGGCTTCCGGAAGACCAGCAGGTCGGGAAGCAGCGCCGCCAGCCGGGCCTCTACCGGCTACAGAGGAGGGGCCACCACCCGCTTGCCGGTCGCCATGGCGGCGTTGGGCTTGGCCGCTAAACTACGGAAACAGGGTTCGCGTAGCAGCCATTCCTCAGCGACGGCCTTGGGTCCCTCCTACCAATCAGTGCGGGCTGCCTTGGGGCACCATCAATCGGAAGCTACCGCAGGTCACACACCAGCTTCCTGTTGCCTTCCGCTAGCTCTGCTTCCGGCGTGGCGCGTTCAGAGGGGCTAAGCTTATTTTAAAATCTTTTTGAAACGTGGTGAGGCGCTTCTACGACAAAGCAGTTCATTGGCGATAACTACCAATAGAGCGGTCTCTTCCTCGTATTACCGGAGAAGAAACTTGTCATCTGAATTTCTAGGGACGAGTTCCACTGGCATCTAAGACAAACTCTGGATGGTTTTTTAACATCCTTAGACTAAAGCTGTCAGTCCATTTCCTTAATTGTTAGAGCGTTTCTCAAAACAGGCCAGGCCGGCCAGGCCAGGTGTATTTGGTCTCATGGGAGTGCGTAACAGGGCTATTTTTCTCTAGGGTACTGGATCCCTGTTGTGTGTGTGATGAAGGCACACTTGAGGTCGCCAGTCTTGCCAGATTGAGAATACAAAGCAGTAATAGGATGAGCATGTTGTGGATTTTCAGCAATCATAAAAGTATCTTTGTTTTGCTTTTCTACAGAATTAAAAACAAAATCTAAAAATTACATACTATCTTTAGTTTTAGACTACCAAATCAATGCTGTTTTGGTGACAACTGAAGGTCTAATTTTACTCACAGAATTATCCATTTCATTTTCATTAATACTTCCTGGAGTAAGGCCAGATATACATCGATCAGCCCGCTGTGACAAAATACCTCCTCAGGAGGGAGGGAGGGACAAAAAATAAGCCGGATTAAGTGGAGAGATGTGGCCAACAGGCCTGGACATCAAAAGTTTGACACATTGACAACAGAGCTTGCATGTCTGCCTGTAGAGATAATTTCAACATTATAATCTAGGACCTAGGGGATGTAGACTCCTCAAAATTAATGTCACTTTTTAATATTTTTATAAATTTATTTTAAAAAGTAACAATTGCAATGACATTAATGATCGATCCTGTACTCCCCCTACTGCTGGGGGAAAAAACCATTTATGTAGCTGAGACCCAAAGGAAAATCAAGACGTTATTATGAGGCACCCAATAGACAGAAAATGCTGTGTTGGTCCAGTGCTATACACACTGACATGTTTGATGTATCAGTGCAATTAAAATATACATTTACAATTATCCTGCAAAAAAAAAAAAGCACTCAAGAAGTGAACTATGAATTAAACCAATTACTCATTCATCCATTCACACTTCTGCATCTACGAAGTCATCACTAGTCATGAAGACAAATGAATAAAATAACTTCTAGTAACGAAGAAAAAATTCAAACCTTAACTCTCTTTGTGGGTTATTATGCTGTGTTAAAAAAACCATAATAAAAGGGCCATAGCTACCTGAAATGTAATGACAAAATGACAACTGAAGCATTTAATTTCAAAAAACTCAAAAAACAAACAAAAACTCTGCAATACGAGGTTGGTATTACTATATACAAATTTACACAAATAAATTAGGACTGTTGGCTTAAGTACTAGAAATTAGGTCTGAGGAATTTCTGGACTCTGCATCTTAAAAGACTCCTAAAAACCAGGGGCTATACATTCCTCATTGTTTTTAGTAATCTATCATGTGAAAAAGTTGGGGGCTTACTGAATAAAAGTTAATTATCTGAAACTCATGTGAAGAGCCAGAAGCCATCTAGTGAACCTATGAAGGCTTAGTTCCCCCTGACATCTGAAAGCCAGGGACTAGAGAGAAACTTCACTTTCTGCTTTCTTTGCATAGTTCGTATATACCTCTATTTTCTATCATCACAATGATTTCCCTTAGTGATATTTTCTTTAAAGGGCTTAATTTCTTTTCCCTCATAATACAATTAGAGTGAAATCAAAGAGCTACTCTTTACACTTGGTATTTATATCAAACCCAAATGTTCTTCAAAAGGATTAAGTTCTCCTTTGTTTCCAGAGTAGGTAGCAAACCTACTGAAATATTATCTTAGTTCTTCAGGGGTTCAACATCTAGATGTGCTTGATGTAGAAATCTAGATACAGATTTCTGAGGCACCACCCATTCTGACAACTGGCCCAGTTCCTGACCCTGCAGGCATCTCTATTTTCAGTCTACAGTTTATCTGCAGCATGTGGATGCAATGTGAAAACCTTTCTGCACAGAGCCTATGAAGAAGTGGGGAAACAAATGGAAAGTGGCACCCAAGACTCAACTGCCATGGGAAGAATGAGGTTTGCTCTCTGGAGCCAGCACAAAGCACTGCAGGACTGAAGCCAACATCCACTTCAGGCTCTAGCAGGTAACCTGGAATATGCCCAGGATAGCTTGATTGAATCATGCTTTCCAGAAATTGTCAAGGACCAAAGCTCAGACTTCTCCTTTTTCCGTGCTTGTTAAAAGGTTATAGTATAAACGTAAATTATTCTCTTCATCTTAATGATCCATCCCAGGCATCCATCCACTGCAGAATCATACTATATGACAACACATGGGTAAATATACTTTACTCTCTCTCTTCTCCTTGTAGACTGAAACACACTCCTTCTATCCCTCAAATGCTGTCACAAAGCCTGTGACTGAAAATCTCTAGTTTGGCATTGTTTAGGAGTTGCTACAAATGTTCTCAGCACTTCAGTACAGAAGTTATATAGTTTTGTTCTCTATTTAGAAGGCAGTTTCACAGTCCGATATGCTCTAAATTGCTTTAAAAGTAGACATAGTAAAACTATGGTCCAGATGATCTGTCAACAGGACAAGCAGATGACAACTTGCAGGGCTTAAAAAAAAAGGGATATTCAGCAGTTCAGATTTTTAGTGCTTAAGTCTTTTATCATTCTATCCCCAGTTAGCTTTGTCTTGGCTGGAGTCCAAAAATACCAACCTATCAGCTGGGCAGAGAGATTCTTATTATTACCACAGAGTAGATGAATGTTATCTCAGAGCATTTACTGTTCTGTATCATGAGATGAGACTTCCTTTCCTAGAAGCCATCTCTGAATACAAAGTGTCCATTCAGCAAGTCAGTCTGAAATCCCCCTTTAGAGGGATAGATGCTGTTTAGGTTCCATGGGAAGGAGTGGGCTGTCGCTTCCCTGATTGCAGTTTAGGGTGAGCAGCTTTTCTTCCCACTGAGATGACTGGCTGGCCTCACCAGTCAACATTCAGTGCTATGTGGTACTGCTGGGCTGGCCTGGGTCCCGTGCATCATCCTAATCCATGAAATGTTCGTATCATCAATAGTCTGAAATAGGTCCTGACTGAAGGGTCAGACAAAGGCTTGCAACTTCAATTTTCCAGACATTGCTGCAATTATAATACTGACCACTTATTAAAAACTAAGTGGTTTCTGTCTTATAGAAAAGGGCAGAATGTGATCATCAGTGACCCATGGGAAGAGCTGATCAATTTCCTGGAACAGTGGGAAATGGTGGTGAGGAACATCAGCTCCATCACATGGCCTGGGGTTAGGACACTCGGATGATCTGTGTCATTGCTTCTTCATCTGCTTGGTTTGGATCCTAGAGACAAAGAAAGCATAATCATGATTAAAGTCTTTGCAAAAGCAACAGGGAACTCATGGCTCTTCCTGCTTATCACCAAGGGAATATACAGACATACCTCATTTTCCTGTGCTTAATTAGCTTTAGTGTGCTATGTAGATACAGCGTTTTTACAAATTGAAGGTGTGTGGCAACCCTACATCAAGCACATCTATTGGAACCATTTTTTCAAAAGCATTTGCTCACTCACTCTTGAGTCTCTGTGTCAATTTGGTAATTCTCACAATAGTTCAAACCTTTTCATCAGTTATCAGTGATTATAACTTGCTGAAAGCTCAGATGATGGTTGGCATTTTTTTTTAGCAATAAGGCATTTTTAAATTAATAGTATGCAGCACTGTTTTTGAGTCATAAGGCTATTAAGAGACTACAGTATAGTGGAAACGTAACTTTTATATGCACTGGGAAACCAAAAAATTCACTGGACTCACTTTATTCCAATATTCACTTTACGGAGGTGGTCTGGAATGGAACCTGCAGTACTAGCTGAGGTGTGCCTGTAACTTTGCTAAGTAAACAAAAGGCCTGTAATGGATCCAGGTCTGCATATACAGATTAAAATGCAGCTCTATTAGGGAAGACAATAAACTTTATTTTTAAAAGGATTCCAGGTCTGTTCTGGCACTCCATTACCCAATACTCCAGAGTTGAGAGTGTTATCTCTTTCCTGGGCACCTGTATTGTGCTCCACTCTTAAGGTTTAAGGGTCCTTAGGTGGCTTAAAAAAAGACCCAGAGAAAGCATATCATGTGTATTTTTCTGTCATTACTTTATGATCATATTTAAATACTGGGCACTTAGCAGGGCTGGCAAAGGACACTGGAATTTATTTACTTTAATGAACTTATTTTGTAGATAAACCTGAAGCTTGGGTGGGTAAAGTGATTTACCTGGACTAAAGTAAAAAAGTCAGGAGACCAGTAAGAATGAACTCTCAAATCTTTTGGCTCTCATTAGTCTTCTTTCTATTAAACTCTGCTTACTTACTGCCTCTCACTTAAAACTTACCACGTTAAGACAAGGATTAGTCCTTAGGAGCTTTTTGCAATACTCTACAATAACCACCTTTAGTTCCTCCACACCAAGGCTCTAAAGCCTCAGCTGGCGTTATCCAAGGAAAATCAGATTTCTGGAGGGGTAAGTGTAGAGCTGGGTCTTGACCAAGCAGGGCAGATATGAAGGATATACACTTATAAAGGATCACATTAAGATCTGGAGAATGGGCTAAAGGGCACATGAGTGGAAGAAGGGAGCAGGAACAATAACTAGCATCTGTTGAGGTGTCACCAGGTGCTAGGTACTGTGCTGTGTTATAAGGTGCTTAATGTGGCTTACTGCATTAAATCCCCGCAATATTCCTGTGACCTATCAATAGATCCCACTATATAAGAAACTGAGGCTAAAAGAGGCTAAGTTGACTGAGGTCATATTGTCAACACCCAGAATTAGCAGAGTTCCCAGCATAACGCCCATACATGGCACTTTACATCCATAAACTGCATGAATAATGAGTAAAGAGGAGCTCTCGACTACAGACAGGAATTAAATGCACTGAAGAAGTCACTGTTCATGTGTGGGACACCGAGGAATCCTAGTCTGATTGTTGAGAGGCGTGATGAGGCAAAGTTGCTTATGTGCTGTACAGAGAAACAGTTTGAGGTATGATGCGGTTAAGAAATGAGGAGCTAGCATACATCCATGAGCAGGAAAGTGACATGATTATAAAAGTACTACCTTATGAAGACTGATGTGGCAATAGTGCAGACCATTTCGTAACGGTCATATGGAATGAAGTATCAGTAAATAGGAATAACCCATTAATTCAACAAACATTTACTACATTATATACTACACTCAATAAATACAATGTAGAACACAACAATCTTCCACACAGCTTATAGTCTTGCAAAGAAGACAACTACTGCACAATTACATAAATAAACCAACTCGATTACTAACTCAAAAGAAAAGGAAGATTTGAGAAAATAATGGAGTAGAAGAGACCTACTCTGGACATGGTCTCTCAACTTAACCCAAGACATAAATGACAAGGACAGAGCCATGCAAAAGGATATAGTGAAAAGCTTATGGACTGGCTATTTTAAAGACAAAGATCCTATGGCAAGAGACAGAACAAGGAAAGTACAGCAAGGGCATACAGACCAATTAGCAGGGGGAAATGAAGCCAGAGGAATACAAGAATTGGAGCATGCTGGGCTTTGTTGAACATGGTAAATGGTTTAGATTTTAATTGTAAGTGTAAATGGGAAAGGGTGGGGGTGGAAGCAGTTTAAGCAAGGTAGAGATGTGATAAGAGACATTTATGAAAGATCACACTAAGATTTGGAGAATGGACTAAAGGGCACATGAGTGGAAGGGAGACCAGTAGGCAGTTGTTACATTAATTAAAGCAAAAGAAGAGAATTATACCAGGCTGACAGCAGCTGGAAGAGAAAAAGTAAATTGATTCAGATTATATTTTAGAGGTAAAACCAAAAAGGCCTTCTTCAAGTATTGGACAGTTCTAGATTTAGTAACTAGGTGGATGGAGATGTCACTTGTTGACATAGTGACTGGTCTAGGCACAAAAAAATGAAATAAAAATCAAGAGTTCTATTAAGTAAAAACCAGTGTAATAGAGTAGTTACAGAGTAAGGTCTGGAATTCTAATTCCTGGGTTTGAATTTCAGTTGCACCATTAATTGTTTTACCTTTGGCAGACTGCTTAAGCTCTCTAAACCTCGGATCAACTGTAAAATAGAAACAATAATTCTTACCTCATGGGGCTTGAGGTTGCTGTAAAGATTCAATGAACAAAAAAGAGCTTGTAAAAGTGCTTAACAATGGCTAGCACATGTCAATTAAGTGTTAGCTGCTGCTGCTGTTATTACACTAAGAGACATAAAATATGTTCTTTGAAAATCAAGAGAAGAATTTCAAGAAGGTATTAACAGTAGTAACTAGCAAAGACTGGGAGGAAAAGGCCACTGGATTAAAGACCTTTAGAGCTTTTAAGATGAAAGGGAATCCAAGAAACACAAAGTTGCATTCAATTTAGAGAATATGATTAGTTCCTAGTGTAAAAATTGCAAGAGATAAGTGTGAAGGCTTCCACTCAAGATATGGTAATGAAGAGAAGAATGAACTACAGTCTCCTCACCTGCATATGGGGACTATCCTTTTCCTTTGGAGAGAAAAATCGTCCACCTTCACCACGCTTCCGTGCCATGGCATGACGGTGCCGAGACTCATGTAGGTATTTCTAAAACAAGAGAAATAAAACTATTAGCTGGAACCAGCTTATCATTATCTCATGCACAAATTCCATCCTGAGAAGTTGAGGACAACTGTGATCAAAGCCACAAGGCGCATTATGACCTTGATTATGAAGAAAACACTACATAGCAGCTACCATATATTAACTACCATAAAAATGTGAATGCTAAATGAGTAATAAAGATTTCCCTAAAGGTACCATAGAGATCCCTACTTTCCTCCCAATATGTAGATATCCTCTCCGACGCTTTAATAACAGGCCAAATTTCAGTGGGCAAATGGCTACTCAGTAAAACGACTGCCATTTCCTGGCCTTAACTGGAGGAATGTGTGACCATGTAATTAGGTTTTTGCTGAGATGTACCAAACTTCTTGGAAGTTTCCTTGAAAGACTGCCTTTTTTAATTCCCTTTGGTCCTAGGCTGGAAGCCAAGCAGTCACCTGGTCTATGAACAGCTATGAATACTAGGATTATTACAACAGTAAGATAGGAGGAGAATGAGTCTTGAGGTGTGGAAATGTTCTCCCAGCCCAGGACAACTTAATCTCTGGACTTCTTTTATATATAAAAAAAACTTACTAAGATACTGCTATTTTTTTTTTGTTACTGTAGTTGCACCTGCATATAATAACAACAAATACTAATTTTTACAAAGATAACAGCTATCTGTCTTCACTTGTTTAGAAGGTACTCAAAAAAACAAACTATATAAAAGGTAATTTCAAAAGTAGAATCCTGCTGTTTCCCTATATCCTTTCCAGAGCTACACATACCCTTCTTTCCTTTGGAATTTTCCCTTCTGCCTCTAGTTTCGCCCGGGCTTGCCTCCTCTTAAGTATTCGGTGGTACTGTTTGGCATTCACATACAGAGGCTCTTCTTCGAGCATCTCTGCCCCAGGGAGAGGGATTCTTTGGATAGCAGGTACAGAGCCAGCACCAGGCACCATCTGTGTGAAGAGAAAACCAGAGCTTATTAAATAATGGCATGAAGTATGGGCACAGGAAATAGTTGCTTAGTTCCTGTTAATTTATTTTCTTCTGAATGCTACAGAGTAGCTTTTAATAGGGCTCTTTCTTAAATGAAGATTCCTGAGGCACACTCACACTAAAAGTCTGCATTTAAACACTCCAGATGTTTCTGTCATAGGGGGCCCAAGAGCCACACTGAGAACGGAATCAACCATGTCCAAATTCTTGTCCACCTATGGCTCCATTTTCTAGTAATGTCTGCTGCCATCTAATGGTCAGGGACTGTAATCGTTGACAATAAAATGGACAGAGAAAGGTAGGTACAGATTGACCAAGGGCTACTAAATGCCTATAATTATATAAATAGCTTAATTAAATGGTTAACTTACTCTATAATTCAATCCTAAGTTTTCTAAACAAATAGAAGTAAACAATGTACTAAATGTATGAGGAAACAAGTTGTATTCCATTTTCTTCCCAATTATGACTTTGAATAGATGTACTATTTCTTCTGGTAGCTTCCTCCACCTCTGTGCAAGCTTCTACTACTACTAGTCTTAATTTATCTCTTCGTATTATATTTAATTTATTAATGATATTTATTTACTTACCCATATTTGTATTTATGAATATAAAAATGTATTTATATTTTTTGTTTCCTCTATTGATTACAATCTTTCTAATTTTAAGCCTCTTTCTTGTTTCACCCACTGTGGGCAATATGTTTTCCACTTCCTTAAGATCAGTGGTCTGTCATTTGAATTCTGAGTAAGATGAAATAAAAGCAAATATTTACATGTTTATCTTCTGCTGTATCTCCAGCACTTAGAATAGTCCCTGAAACACAGTAGGTGCTCTGAAAGAATTATGGTTCACTGTAATGTTTATTGTAAAAGTTAGATCTCTGTAAGTGCCTTAAGAATCAACCTGTATCTCAAGAGTATGAGCATTATAATCAAGCTTTATGAGAAGCAGCAAATTACAAGTCAAGAAATTTCCAATGACAAACAGATATATGGAAAAATAAATTACAGATGAGAGTAGTAAGCTGAAAAATCAGTCTTCTTACCATAACCATGCCTCCTGAATTGACCACATTGCCTGCCACTGGCAGTGTTACAGTGACAGTCCCTTGCCCACTGCTTGTTGTATTGGTGTTGGCTCCTGTCTGAACAATCTGTGCTCCTGCCAAACTGCCTGCTGGGATGGTGATCATGCCTGAAACAGGGACTGTAACTTTAAGAAAATAAAACATAAAACAAACAAAAAACAGGTACACAGAAAGAAGGGAACACAGTTAGTCCCTCTTCTATCTGGCACACACTTACTCACCTTGGAATAACATACTAGGGAGTTCAAGGGGAGTAAAGCACTCACTCTCTGCCTGGTTTCTGTATGTAACCCAAGTAATCACAGTCTTTTAAATTCTATTAGCTGGGTTCTAGCTCTGAATAAAACTAGCCTTAAAATGGATAATTCTCGGCTTTCCAATACAGTTTTCAACGGTGGTGAGAAAGTTTGGAGGCTTCTCCTTCTATAGGCCTGTCTGTCTAGCTATTCCCACTATACTTGTATACAGGAATAATCTGCTTCAGGATGGACATTTTATCCTAAATCAATGAGCCAACCCATTGCAGGATGGTAAATTAAAATTAAACCAAGCACCAACAGCCCCCAAACTATCTATCAACAGCAGCACTTCAGGATTTGTTCACCAATCTGAGCTCCTGCCAGGGATCAGTACAGTTCAGGCCCTCTCCTGAGTCCTGAGAGCATCCTTACTACACTCACTGGATCTTCTTTACTGCTAAGTTTTAACTGAAAGTCAAACTTTTAGTTAAGAGTCCAACATGTCCTTTCTAGATTTAGCTATCTGACAAATGCCTCCAAAAGCTCCCAAGTTCAGTTTGAGCCATCTCTTCCTCTCTGATGTCCATTTTCCTCCTAAACCGAACAGATCTGACCTCTTATTATGCATTACCTAGTTCTAGAACATACATTTGCAAGAGCTTTGCGTTGTGTGTGTTCACATGTCTGTCTCCCTTACTAGACCAGAGGCTCCTTAGAAAGAGAACTCTTTCTTAGTAAAAAGTGGTGTGTATATAGTAGGGATATATTAAGTGTTTCTGGAATAAATTAATAATGAAGTGTCCCAGAAAAAAAGAAAAAACATAAGCACTAACGACACTAAATGACACCTTGATTTCTGATCTCCTTCTCTCTACCAATGAAGAAACCTCATTATTTCCAATCTTCTATTTAGAAACATTTCTTCCCAGAAAGGATTAAAGACTTACAGAATCCTTAGACCAGTCTTTTAATAACCACTTCAGAACTCGTACAAATGGAATCAATGGTGGTCACGTATTACTGGCAAGGAACTAACAATCAATGGAGATTTAGATGGAATTTTTTGTTCAAAATATGGCAGAGGTCACTACAAAATTTCTGAAGCGGTAATTTGCTCAAAGAATAAAAGAAGTCATTACCCAAACTCCCACAAAAATGAATGGGCACATTTACCTTGCTGCAGAATGGTGCCATCTGCATTAACTGGCTGATAGACAATGGTCTGCCCTTCAGCCGTCTGTGCCACTTGCTGTCCTTGGACAGCAATCTGTTGCTGTGTCTGTAGGAAATAAATCATAATACAATTTAACAGATTTCAAAGACACCACAAAGAAAAGGACCACATAGTCTTTTAAAAAACATTTTTGATGATTTTTTCTTGCCCCTTTCTACTGCACGTGGAATAGTCCTTCCAAATTGGTTGTGCTCCTGTACTGACAGAGACAGTGGAATTACCTGGGTCTGGCCAGCAGTGACGGCTGTCTGGGGCTGCTGGATGATGATCTGCTGGGTCTGGCCCTGCTGGCCCTGCACCTGCACAGCTTGCCCACCCTGGATCTGGATTTGTCCGGGGGGGACTAACTGGATCTGTGGAAGAGAACACAAAGGTTAGTACACTGCCAACACTGGTCTCTCTTGGTCCTGGAGGATTAAGAATCAAGTTATTCAATTCTTCTAGAAAGCAGGAAATGCTCTAAAGAAGAAAGAAACAGAAGTCCTGTTCTGCTCTCTATTAATGAATTAGAGATAACTTGTTTCCAATCATGAAACAATGGGAGAATTTTGATCACTGTCTGGATACTGTATGATATTAAGGAATCAATGTCATCCTTTAAAAAGATGATAGTGTTGGCAGTTGTATATTTTTCAAAGCATGTGCATTTAAAAGTACACTCTGAAGGTTTTTTTTTAAAAAACGATGAAACTGGAAGACTGATTATGTGGAACTATTGAAACTGGATGATGGAGATTCATCATACCATCCTCTTTGTTTTTGTCTATGCCTGAAATTTTCCATAACAATATGTTGAAAAAAAAATCAAGTTTTTTCAATTTTTCCAACTGGAATTCTGGAACTCTTTATATACAAAATTCTTAAACATACAGAAAAGTAGAGACTATCATATAGACATTTCTGCAGTTTTCATTCAGATTTAGCAAATTAACATTGTGCCATATTTGCTTCATTTAACATTCCTTTCTCATCTAAAGGGTAATCACTATACTAAAACTGGTTATTATCCTTACAGAGCATATTTTACACACAAATATCCATAAAAATAAGTGGTATGGTTTTGTTTATGAATTTCATATAAATGGTACCATGTTATATTTTTTTTTGCAATTTGTTTTTTTAGTCAACATTTACAGGATAAAGCCAGCTGAAACTAGTTCATTCACTTTAATTGGTGTATAAAATAAAAGTACTACGTTAAATAATTATTCTATAATTTATTCATCATTCCCCTTAACATTTGAGTTTTTCCCTAACAATTTTATTTTTACAAACAACAAACAAAAACTTTTATTTTTACAAACAAGAACAACAAAATGATGAATGTATCTCCTTAAGCAAATGTTTAAGTTTTTGAAGTAATTAAAATTAGAATTCTGTTAAAGGAGATGTCTGCGGTAAGCAGCCTCTAGAATGGTTCCCAGCTGCTTCTGGTAGTCTTCTGCATGTGTGTGCAGGACCTAGCAACTCATTTCTAATGAACAGAATATGGTGAACGTAGTGGGATGTCACTTTTAAGATTAGATTTCGAAAAGACCGTGACTTCCATCCTGCTGGCTTCTTCCCCCTTCTCCTTCACTAAGGGAAGACAGCTGTCATTTTGTGAGCTGCTCAACTGAGAGGCCCACACGGCAAGGAACAAAACAAACCATTTGCCCAGGATGGTTTGATTAATCACAGTCCTACTTGGAGATAGGGGAATAGAATAAATAACCCATTCAAAGTCTGTTAAAGGCCAAACAAAACCCCAAAAAACCCCACCAACCCATAAAAGTACAGAATTTAGAGCTGGAATGAATCCTAGAAATCACCTGATATAAACTGCATTTCTGGATGAGAAAACCAACAAGCAAACGACCTGGCTGAGATCAGAAAGCTTGTTTAATGGCAGACCAGGGAACGAAAGGTCGCTGCGCTTAGAATACACCTTTCCTAGTGCTGTATCATACTGTCTCCATTCAAAAGCGGAGAAGGTGTGGCAAGGGGGGCTAGAAAGGAGGCAATGAAATAAAGGGCAGAAATGAAACAGGGTGAAACTGAGGCAAGCACACACACTGAAAAAATATATATAAGGCCTCATACATTTATGCATGGAGAAATGTGCAAACTATTTTATCCTAACTATTACTCTATCTTGGCAGAAATATGTAATAACCTTAAAAATGATCTTACCCCTTGCCCAAACAATCTCCCCAAGTCCAAATTACCCTAGGAATTAAGTCAACTGAAAAATAAAGTTATCATACTCAAATACATTATGGCAACTTTACCTATAAAAGCAAAAAAACAAAAATAAGACAAAACAAAAAATCCTTATACATTTTGCAAATAAAAATTCTGATTCATCAAACTGATCACTATGAAGGAATTAAAAATAAGAATATTATGTGGAAATATTAAAAAAAAATACTTTTATGTATGGTACAAGTATGCCCAAATAGTATGCATAAAACTAAAAGGGAATACTGCAAAAATTAAGTTTGAGTTATCAAGCAGTGTGATCATGGATGAATTTTTTCAACTTTTATTAAATTCCTCCAGAAAAACTAAAAGATTAATGTGATCATTGTAACTGTTAAAGATATAGATATGGATAAAAAGTTAATTGTTCTCCCTCAACCCCATTCCCATTCTGAACAAACATATATATCCATGGGGTTTGGCTATCAATCACAAAGAACACTTACTATGGCTTCCCCTGCAAACTGTTTTTCACTAAAAACACTTAAATATTAACCACCCCCTAAGCCAACAGTTTATCCTTTTAAACAATGGCTTAATAGTCCATATATGAATATATTATGATATATTCAACCATTTCTTTATTAACGGACATTCAGGTCACACAAAAGGTTTTTTTTGCTAGTACAATGCTGCAAAAAATGTCTTTGTACATTTCTCTCTCTATAGCAATGCTTTTTTCCCCCCTCTAAGATAGATTCTCACATGTACAGGACAGGCAGGTCGAAGGTTCCAGTATTTTAACATTGAGATGGCTTTCTAAAATGACTTTTGAATTTGAAATGATCAGAAAAGATGAGTGTTGAATGTTTCCCTTTCTCCACACCCATTCTAAGCACTGGATATAATCACTTTTAATTTTTGCCAGCTTGATGATAAAAATCCCTCTGATGTTAAAAAGCTGATGCCACAGAGTTCATTTCTTGTTTAACTTTGTTTTGTTACTGAATCAAAACTGTTTTGTTTTGATAAATAAGTGGATTTATCTAACTACTTTACTGATCTGTTTACATAGTCATCTTTATTCACCCTGTCTACATTTTTGTTAGTTTTCTACTTCATTAATTTCAACCTACTTTTTGCTTATTTGGTTCTTTTCTGAACATCCTGAGAAGTACTATTAGTTTATTTTCAGTTCTTTAGAATCACGTATTTAAAGTTATAAATTTTGCTCTAAGTACAGCTTTAGGTGTGTGCGATGGGTTCAGAATTAAATAGTTTTTTCAAATTATAAATGACATGGTAAGAAATGAAAAGGATAACATTTCTGACCAAAACCATCAATCTCCACAGCAGACTATAAATCCCCTCCCCCAGTCTCCAGGAGTGCCAACGATGGACACATCAATGAATTATTTTATTAAACTAGATTCTCATCTTTCTATATTCCCTATATTCTGATCATGCCTAATATCTTAGTCCTTACCACAGATATCCAATTTCTGTAGTTCTGCTTTACATCCTGATACTATAAAGGTGGAAAACTGACTAAATGAGAAAAGATGGTAGGAAGCAATTAAATACAGTATCAATTGTCAAGTTTATAACAACCTATTCTTTAAAAATTCACATATTTGTCTCAACATTTTTTTTTTACGCCACTCACCTGCTGTAAACCCTGTGTCCCAGACACAGGCACTTGCATTATCGTTTGACCTTGTCCACCAGGGACAGCCTGGACCATGATGGGTTGGCCAGTTGATGTGATTAACTGGCCTCCGCTGACCTGTACCATTAACGGCTGCCCCTGGACCTGAAATGAAATAAAATAACAATGAAATAACATAAGACGCCAAATGATTTTTACCAAAAGACAATCACTCCAACTATTCTTTTACCTTGCTAGAGGGGGAAAAGGTAGGAGAGACACTAAGAAAGTAAGTCTCAAGTCCTTGTCCTCATTATCTTCTTAAAAAATACAGTACCTTTGACTAAATGGAGTTGAATACTTTAAGGGCAGATATAATGGAGTACATAAGAGTCTTTGGGAAGTCTCAATATAAGGCATTTATCATCAAATACAGGCTAAATCTACAAGAAGCATTTAATCAAAATGTCAAGATTAGTTGCCTTTTTAGACCAATATCCAGGAATAGTCTCTAGAGAAGGCTGGCAAGGAGGCAATGGGACGGAGGGCTGATGGTGGTGATGGCGGTTGAGTGCAAATCCTAATTAACCTGGAAGGCATAAATCAAACTGTATCAAGCAATGACTCCAGGAGCATGGGTGGCAAGCAACTCTGTAAGCTTATGAGGAGACTCTTTAACCCCATAGTCTCTCAAGCATAAATGAAGTGTAGACCTTTTATCCTCTTCACCTCACTTGGGAATTCTACTCCTGTGTTGTTTTAAAGAGCCACTAGTAAAAAAAAAAAAAAAGCTTCAACAGAAATGTTATCCTTTTCATTTCTTACCTACCATGTCATTTATAATATCTTCTGGTCAGTTTGCAATCACTGTGGACCCTGCGATACCTGCACAGTTATTTTAGCTTTAACAGAAGCAAGGACAAATATGGAAATACAGCACTCAAGTGTACCAAAAAACCTCCAACTTTCAAGCTCTTTAGAGTAAACAGATAACTCTGGAAGCCAGTGCATTTTAAGTGTAATATCTTCAGTCCCAATATAAAAATACTTAGCTAACTGAATACATTATGGAAGCCAAAAAACAAGCCACTTTATGTTCACAGAATAGCTGGTCCAAAACTTTCCTTTGCAGATCCTATCTTTGTTTTGAAGATTTGTAACAGAACAAAAGAATATTCATATGATTAAAATACTCATTCTTAATGTCAATCAAAGTATGTTAAAAAAATAATAGTTAAAAGATCAATCTGTCCTAGATGAGACTAGATGTTAAGTCCCACCTCCCACCCCTACCTCACCACCACCACCACCACCATCACCAGTGGATCAGAATCTTCAGGAACATTTCGGAGGTTTTATTAAACTGTTCATTGAGAAATTCCATTCTGCTTTTTTAAGGACTTTATAACCTGATGCTTTCATGACTTTTCCTTCCCTTACTTTCCCATCCCATATCAACATCCCTTTGCTATACCAATGCTCACTTATGCTCTATCAGAAAAGATTTTTCAGAATATGTATTTCATGAATAACTTAAAGAACTATTTAAAATTCTCTAAAATAATGAGCCCTACAGAGGGAAGGTTTCCATTATTTCCATAAAGTGTTTCCATTTCTCTCAAATAAAATCAACATAAGTAGGAAACGTGTTAAGGCACAATTAATATTAATAATTTTCTGGCTATCCTCATCTTAATTTCTCTCCTTATTGACATGCTATATATGCACATGATAAACCATTTGGAACTCACAGGAGCCCACTGTGTTTACAACACATAAATGATTACAAGAACACATGCATCAGACAAGAAGCCATACAGTTAAAAGCATGTTACATTCCCATTCCACAAGTGGTTAACGACAGTACTGTTTCATATGTATCACCAAAATGAAGCAAGCAAGAAAAACACGAATAACAAGCTTTTGGACTCTGAAATTTGAGCATAGTTCAGGAGTGCCTCCAAGCTCAGCTTCTTTCAGCTCAGTTTATGTTCAGAATTGGCTGTATATCATCATCAAACACTGCGGATGGCAGTTATGGGGATGGGACTGAAAGGGTAAAGTGAAACAACCACAATAAGGGGTCATTAACTACTCTGGAAGCTTATTAGGAGACTCTTTAACCCCATAGTCTCTCAAGCAGCACTGGTAATAGTGACATTCCAGTTCTACATTTTAGGTCCTACTTTGAATCATTTCCATTCAATGGAGGAAAAAGGCAGGACACACAATCTTGCCAATTTCTCAAAAATATGGTCATTTTAGTCAAAGTAACCTATAGACACAGAAAATACTTACGCTTCTGCTCTTATTTTTATATAGGAACTGGCCAAAATATAACCCTAATTTAGGATATTTAACTTGGCCATACATAATGTTAGGGAACTGCAAAGGTTAACTAAGAATTCTGTAAGTCTTATGACTTAGAGAAAGCATGTCTATCTCTGCCCAAGCAAGAGGTTAGGGGATAATCTTTGCAGATCTAGTAATAAGCCATGACTTCCCAAGGAAAGGTGGTGAAAAGGCAGCAGTTAAAAGCTGAACAAGATTCAGTGATTAGATAAACCTTGCCAAGTCAATGATTATTTGACATATGTAAATATATGTATGAATATATGTAATAACATATGTTACCCTTTTAATGAATATAAAGCACAATCTAGCCCAGTTAATATGTATGTATTTTCTTGTCCACCATAATACAAATTCATGAAATTTTACATGCAGTCAGATTATAGAGTTTGAACTCTAAATAGGTTCTAATGCCACTTGTAAGAAATTCTTCCCGTCATTTATATTGTTTCTTTCCCAGGCATTCCCAAAGAAGCACACTGGCCAAATGCAATTTTAAGAAAATTGCTAGTGGGGTCACTATATTAGGAACCTGGCATCTTATAAGCCTCAAAGAAAATTAGCAGCATCAAAGACATGCAACTGACATTGCCATTCTTCCTTGAGATCCTACTACAAACAGCACCAGACATGAGATGAGGAGAAGTTCATGCAGTGCTTACAGAAAGTCAGAGAGAGCACCACTACCTGGAGGGTCTGGACTTGCTGGCCTGAGGCGGATGCCACCTGGGCCTCAGTCTGCAACTGGACTGCAGTGACACCACCCTGCTGCTGAGAATAGGAACAGGAAGAGCTTGAAACGTGTCAGGAAGGACATGTATCGTTTAAGACAAGTGTTACCTTACCTCTTGTGAGAAAGGGAGGGAGTCTTCTTTTAAGAGCCCCACTCCACACAGGACTTTCAAACTAAACAGACTCCCTATACTTAAGTTTTGTTGAAGGTAGTAGGATTAAAGATATTAGCCCTTTGGGCCCAGAGTGGAACTCAAAATACACTTCTATGACTCAAAAACATCAAAACAGTTTTCAGCATCAACACAGTCCTTCCCTCTAGAAATAGGCATTTGATCCTTTGCTTACACAGGTATTTTAATGCTCTTCTTCTTTCCTCAAATGAGTTCATGATAACAAAGTTAATCGGTCTTAACAGCCTTGCAACTACAGCAAAGAATTTCTGGGATGTAAGTGCAATCACCAGAAAGGAAGAATGAAGCAATCACTGTGAAGCAAAACCATTTCAGGAGATTCACTGGTCTTATGTCCCCAAACTCAACTGGATTACCTTAGAAGCAATGTTTTCAGTCATTCAGCCTAATTTTTATATTCTGGCCAGTTCTGACAGAACAAGAATTCACCCAGCTGGGCACTCGTGTGAATGGAGGGTTCTTTGTGGAAACCCCTTTTCTAACAAGGCAGTTAAAGGAAGCTACCAGAGCCACAGCTGCGTGTGGAAGGAAAAGTCAGCAAAGGAACTTAATTGTCTTTTAATTAAGTAGTTCCTTCCTTTGATCATTAGATAAGAACAGCTCACAATCAAAATTTCCTTTGCTCTCCCTAGGAACTACTTTTCTCTATTGTCTGAGTTCCATTTCAGGAACAAAACATTCTCAATCTTGGCCTAAGGACAAATCAATGCATAATAAACTTCTTTTCTTACAGGGAGAAAAACAAATTTTAAAACAAAGCCAGGCATAAAGCATCAGAAAGTGTATTCTGTGTATAAATTTAAGAAATCTACCTGTCTTAATTAGGAATAAACCAGCAGCAGGGAATTCTTTTCTAATATGTACTTATCCATATGAGTGTCTGTCTAAGTATTATTCTCTTGTTAAACTGGAGCTTTTCAGAATCACCACTGTGGTGGATCAAATCAATAAAGAGTGGATTTCTTGGAAACTGACTATCTTGGTTTGAATTGTTGTGGCCAAAGCCTTACTAGATCACAACCTGGCTTAATCAAAAAGGACCAAACTGAATCTCCAGAAAAAACAAAAACTCCAAATTTCCATCTAAAAACAGACAAGGTTACAACCTAAGACAGGAACAGTCGCAGGGGGGCCATCAGGTGAGAAATTGGGGATCAACAGAGGTGAGGCTTAGAACCTCACCCCGTTTTGAGAGAAATCTTCTGCATCCGTGGATGTTTTGTTGCCCTTGTCTAGCTTGGATTAATACTTAGTCTATAGACACAGACCTGATCATCTACATTTGCCCTCTTACAGCACTAAATTATGTTTTCTACCTTTATCTTGCATCTACCTACCACTTCAGCACTTTATTAAAAAAAATAATAAAAATAATAAGGGAGAAATGTGGGATTCACATATAAATCAAGTATAAAAATCAAACGAATAATCATATCTGACTTGATTGTTTATAGTTCATGATGTGTGATCAAAACCGAAAGTTTCTGTGATATGACTGCCCCTTGCACTGTTCACCATGTAAGAACTTATTCATTATGTAAGAACTTGTTCACCATGTAAGAACTTGTTCGTTATGCTTCAGAAGATTGGAGACTGTTGAGAATTAGGCTTGGGGTTGATTAATGATTGTGTATTGAGTCCCTTATACAGAATTTTATTGTTGTTAACAACCATTTGATCAATAAATGAGAGATGCCCTCTCAAAAAAAACAAAAACAAAAAACAGACAAGGTTGACTTTTAATAAGAAAAAAGGGGCAATTTACTACTAAACCAGGCTCTCATGAAGAGCAAATTCAAAGTGACCATGGACTGGATATAAAGCTTTGAACACACAGAACACAAGTGAAATCACAACAAACCCAATATCCAAAGAGCACTCCAGCAGAACTCATCAAACCTATTATTTATAAGATCTGGCACCTCTCAAATAATTTCCCAGTTGAACAGTGCTATTACCACCAAGTCAATTGCTATGATGTCTAAAGCAGTTTTATTTCCATACCTGCTGCTGAATCTGTCCCGCCTGGACAACAATCTGTTCTGTTGAACTACTGCTGTTTGCTGTGTACTGCTCCATGATCCCTCCAAGTTAGAAGCCTGTCCACAGTGAGTTTCACTCTGGAGATCCTAGAGACTGTGTGATGCACTCCTATCAGAAAGGTTGGGAAAGAAACTAAAAGTGAGATGGCTAAAAAGGCCTTGCCAGATTATTAAACTTGATAACTTATCACTGAATTTTATTTGCAAGAAAACAGAGTAAGAGAATAGGAAATGCTTATAATCACTATCATTTTTAACTAGGATTACATGGCACAATCATGACAACAATAACAATGCTATTTCACATGTTTTATAAATGCTTTTAGTCATTTCCTTTCAATACTATGTGAGCAACACTCACACCTTAAAATACTCATTAAGCTACAATACCACTTTTTCAGAAGAGTTGTATTTAACACTGGTTTTCAGGTATGCCCAGGTTCTTTAGAGAATGAACACTTTCCTTCATTTGTAACACACACTTGGTGCCTGCCACACCAAACATATTACTCTAGTCCTCTACATATGGTAAGGAATTTAAAGCTTCAGGGACCCAGACTTGAAGTCAAACGTTTGGCTTATCCAAATTTCCATTAAGTAGTGTTATGTAAGAAAGTCCTGGCAAAGGTTTAGGAGTTTGCATTTTAATCCAGAGCTAAAAAACAATTATATTAATGGTAAAAATGATACTTATAGATTAGATAAAAGGAAAAACTTTATATGACATTAAGGCTATGATTTTCTCTGAAAACAATTAAAAAATTTCCCAGTCTTCAATTTGAATACTTAGTAATATTCCACCCTTTACTGTATAATTTTAATTTTTTATTATGACAATTTTCAATTATATACAAAAGTAGTTAGAACATTACAATGGCTCTGCAAAACTAATCACCCAATTTCAAGAATTTTCAACCCATGGTCAATCTTGTTCCATATATATCTCATCCACTTTCTAGCTACCCTTGGGTATTTTGAAATAAATCCTAGACTCAATGTTACTCCAAAAACCAATAAATAGTTCAGAATCTATCTCTAAAGAGTAAAGACTCTTGCCTTTATCCTTTTATCACAATGATGTGTTGTCTCTACATAAAAAATTATTAAGTCCTAATATGATCAAATATCCAGTCAATGTCCAAGTTTACCCTTCTCATACACTTTAACAATTAAAGACTCCTTTTTGAAGTAAGGACACAATTAGGTAACCTGAAGTGATATCTGAAAACCATGAATAGAGACTTGGTCAAAAAAATTTTAATTATATAAATTACCAAAAGGCAATTCATTTTGGAAAAATGGAGGAGGTACAGGAACATATAAAGAAAATATAGGTAAGTCTTTCCACCAATTTTTCTCCCAGCTTTCATAAACTCAAATTTGAATGATAAAGCTTTGTGAGATAAATGAGCCAAACATTACAGCAGCAAAGAAATGCGTCACTCTCCATAAATCCAGACATGGTGGATGAGATTAATCACCTGTCAGGTGTCTCAAAATGGGGTTAATAAAAATATATTCAAGGGCATGTCCATGTATTTAGGAAGAAGTGTATTGGTGCAAAAATATACTTTGAAATGCATCAAAAATTAAGATGGATTGATGGATGAATGGACAGAGATGGACAGGTATCTGATAAGGCAAGTATGGTACAATGTTAATGGTAGACTCTAAGTGATGAGTATACAGGTGTTCATTGTAAAATTCTTTCAGCTTTACTCTGAAAATTTTTATACCGAATAATTGGAGGAAAAAAATCTAATAAAAATTATTCAAGCCTATCACTCATTAACCAAACAGTATTTAGTATGAGTATAAGAGCCGTAAATGACAAAATAACCATGCCATCTTAACATGATGGCTATGTGGTTCTCCCACTCACAACTTTTGCGCTAAGGGAATGCCTACCAAGCAAAGATCTAGCTATAATCTGGATTTAAATATAAATCAGCTAACAGGGAGCAAGTATCAGCAACACAAGTAAACTTGAAATTATTTCTCACTGCATATTAACAAACTGGGTTTCTGATTTTTATACCCATCTCTTCTGAATTGGTTGGCTGATTGGGCTCTTGAGAGATTCTGGGAACAATACAGGAAATCAAGTTTTCAGCCAGAATAAATGGCTCTGCCAGAGAAGTGAACAGTCTTCCTTAAACTCTGTCTTGTCTCAAATTTCACAACTGTACACACAATACACTTGTATTTCTAAACTAATAAAATTAAAGAATTAAGGGTCATGATACATGGAAGTACATGTCATTCCACTTACACGGAAAAGACAAGAGTTATCTAGAGACAGAAAGCAGATCAGTGGCTCCCTGGGCCTGAAAAAGGTTGGGATATAGAGCACCTGCAACTTTCTGGGATAATAAAAATGTTTTATATTTTCATTGGGGTGGTGGTTGCATAGGAGTATAAATTTGTCAAAATTCACCAAAATGTACACTTGACATGTTTCTAAACTACATCTCAATAAAGTTGATTTAAAAAATAAGGGTCATGAAGGAAGGTCCTCTGTATTTCCACACTTCCCTCCAACCCAAGTCCCCTTGTATGAGATATTTTTCCTTGACTACTATTTCCAGAAATTTACATCTTATTCAAAATGCGTGGGAATGACTAATAAACATAACATCATGCAGATTTTCTTAACTAGTTTATCCCGGTAATACAAATGCTCCAATTTAAAAACATAAATTCACTGTACTTTGAAGGGTTAAAAAGGCAGCAGCTTCAAACAAGCAGCAATTCTCTCACAATGAGAGAGTGATTCAGCTTGGAGCAAGACACCAGGATCGCGAATGGTGAGTGCTGTACACAGCTGGCTTCAGTGAAGCCACATGTCCTATAATGGTGCACTGCAGTTAGCAGGACCACAGTATCATCTGACACTGACTTTCTTCAAGTGCTTCTCTAACCGAGATTCTGACAAAATTAAGTCAGCCCGATGTAGTCTGCCTCGCTCTTACTCCCACCTCAAAGTTTTGAAGGTTTTTTCCTTCAAAGAGAGGGGGTGCATTTATTCTGGCTGGCATGGACATTTATTCCTTCCCACTTCAGGATGCAAAACCTGAAATGCGAACTACTAGGAACCCATTCTAAGTGGTTCTACACACATTTTAGAGCTAGAACTTTCTGAAACTCAACTGGAATATAAGCGGGTTTAAAAAAGCATGTTAAAAGCCTCTCAAAATTACCACATTCAACAATCATTACTAGTAAAGACCAAAACAACAGCTTTCAAATTTTGACCATAATTCACAGTAAGAAACACATTTTGGATCACAAATCAATGCATGCAGAACATATTAAAAAACAAACGTTTCGCGAATACTTATTTCTATGTAACATGACATGCACTATGGTATCCTCTATTATAAACAATTACCAGCATTAACTCACTAAATTGATTTCACAACTCAACAAATGGGTCCTGTCTGTGTCTGACGAGACTAGAGAACAAGGAACCATGCAGTAGCCTTATTGTCCTGGGACTGGAGTTCCTAACTGACTCCTTCTTTCCACTAATGATACACCATGTGCCAGACACTGTCCTGAAGGTTTTAGAAATAAAAAGAATACTCTGATGAAGACCCTAACTTCAGAGTCTTTAGTAATGGCATAAAAATCTGTACTGGAACCTTAAGAAACAAGGTAATATGGGAATTTGAGGAGAAGTTTCTTTGTGAGGAGAGATTTCCAGCTGGAAAAGGAAAGCTTTAGGAAAATGGGACATCTGGCCTGGTTGTACATGTGAGAAGGATTTATACATGTGATGATGTGGGAGTGCACGTACTTCAAATGAAAAGCAAGCATAAAAAGCGGACTAAAAGGACTCATAGCAAGAGAAAGCTAGAGGATGGAATACTCTTAAAATTCCAGGCAAAGTTCTTCTACAGAGAGGTGGAGGCTCTTGAGGTGTCTGGCAAAAAAGTGATCAGAATGTAACTGCTTTTTATAAAGAAGTCTAGCGAAAGTGTTCGGTGGGTTTAAAGTGACCACATATATCCTTTTTAAAGACAAAAGTTAAAATATCTATTCCCTAGGGAAAAAAAACAAAACAAAACAAAACACTTATGACACGCAGATCCATTTATCAATGTGGTTAAGAATTAAACGAATTTAAGAAAAATGATTTAAACAATTAAACACACTCATTCTAAAAAGAGAAAACAAAAACTGTCTCTAAAGATTTAGTAGAGGGAACACCCATCTAGAAGTGTTCTGAAGTCTACTTGTTGTATGACCTTAGCAAATTTGATTCTAAAATGGGCACCATAGACTGAAGACCTACTCTACGTCCCAGGGATTGCACTACGTGCTCCACAAGAGTAAAATCTTTTCAAGTACCAGGAGAAAAATATCCCTTTCTTCCCTAAAAGATGTCAGCTATTGCTATGGAGAACCCCAGAAGTCAAACATGCATGATTTTCTAATCTTAGAAAAAAAAGAAAATTCCTTATAGATTTCTTCTTTCTTAACCTCCACAAAACAACTGCTTCCAAAAAATTCCTTATCGAGATACACAAATGCTTTTAACAAATGGGCTTTCCAGACTAAACTCTCACCACTACTGCCTACTGCTCTATTCTAGCTTCCCCGCAAACACGCAGCACAATTTGGTGCCTCTGCAAATCTCTTCCCTCTGTGAGCAACGCTCTTCATTCTTTCCTGTCTAAACAAGTCCCATCATCCTTCAAAGCCAATCAAAACTATGGCGATGTTGAGCCTTCCACCAAGGCTGATGGAAGCTCACATATCATTAGTTCACAGGACTGAATTTGGCCCGTTACCGCACTAAGCATTAATTAGTTGTTCACTTTTCAGTCTCCACTGGGCAGGCAAAGTTCTTATTTCACTTCTGTCTACTTCCTCCCCAGCACACAGACGTGGTTGTCAACGGATTTTTTCTCGCTCTAACGAAAACCCCACGTTAGACTTCTATAAACATCTGCTGAGAAAATGTTAACGGGATTACAAATATATTAGAAAAAAATTAACCAAGAGATGGCTGTGGACTGAGCTAATGAATCAAGCTAGACACATTCAAATTGACAAAGAAAGGGTAAAGAAAAAAAGAACCGTACATGCCCAAGGTAAGAGTTCACAACATGAGCAAGAGATAAATGTAGTAATATGAAGAAAAAGTTGTGTAGACTCCAGGAAAAGGAATGCGCAAGGCTGGTCATCTTCTAAGAGTAAGGTTCCAGGCACCGAATGATCTTGCCCTTACAGCCAGGGCAAGAAAGGGAGACGGCTTGGTTGGACTCCCAGCCAGAGGTGTGCGGTTCTGCCCCGGCGAGCGCGGCGGGGAGGGGAGGAAATGACGAGCCAAAAGGGGGTGGTAACGGCGACGGGACGGAGGCCCGGGCCGAGCGTGCTGGGAGGAGGGGGGCGGCGGGGATGGGGAGTAGGTGCTCCAACGGACCCCCTCCCGCGACTGGGAGACGGCGGAGGCGGGCCCGCAGAGAGCCGAGGCGGGGGCGGGTGAGCTCCCTCTCCCCGCCGCTCTCAGGGCCCCGTGGCTGCGGCGCGCGCCTTCCAAGGCGTTTCTCCTGACTCTGTAGGCCTGCACACACATAGACCCGGCTCCAAAAGGGGTGGAGGCCGCGGGCCCCGCGGGAACGATTTCCCGTCCCAGGGGCCGGGCGTGGAGGGTGCACGGGCGGATTTAACCGTAAGGCCAGAACTACCAGAAGGAAACCGCCGAGGCCTGGGCCGTGTGTGTACCTGAATGCAGGGGCATTCGTGGTAGGCACGCTTACCACCGCCGAGTCTGGGGCCTGAGAATCGGGGCTTAAGGGTCAGGCTAACGGGGACGCATTTCCAACTGGCAGAGACACCCTGCAAGGGTCTGGACCCCAAGGTGCCTGCTTCTGAGGGCGCCATCCCTGCGCGGGACGGCCCCCTGCAGGTCTCAACCGGGAGTGCCCCCAGGCGCTTGCAGGCTCTCGGCCGGGGTCACCCGCCGCCCCGCACGCCTAGGCTCAGCTAGACTCCCCGGGCCCGACGGGCGCCTGGGCCTCTCCTGAGTGGTCAGCGAGACCCGCCAATCGGGGCGCTGGGGCCGGCTCTGGGCCGTTGGATATTGGCTCCTCTCACTCACCGTGCCTTGCTCCCCCGGTTCGCTGCCCGCGCTGATTGGCTCCAGTACCGGACCCCGAAACCCAATCAGAGGCTCCAGCCGCCGCTGCCGCCGCCACTGCCGCTGCCTCGCAAAATGGCGAACCTGAACAAAGGGGAATCGGGCCTCCCTCCAACCGTCTCCGCGCAGGCGTCTCCCAGACTACGCCCCCTAACCCCACCTCTGGGCTCGCCCCGCCCCCTTGGAAGGAGCACCGCGCAGGCGTCCCCTGAGGCCACGCCCATTCCCTGATTTGACATCACGCCTGATCGAAGGAATACGCAGGCGCCTTCTACACGCGCCAAATCCTTCAACTCAAACACCGCCCAGAACATAGTACTACGCAGGCGCTAACTAGTTCCTTTGCCAACTGCCCACCCCCTTCTATGCAGCCGCTGGAGACACACCCCTGGGGCTAATGCGCAAGTGCCGTTTTCCCTCCAACTCGCGGTCGGCTGTCTCCCTACGCATGCCCAGGCGGCGGCGGGAGACCACGGAATTTACCGCCGGAAGTTCAGCGTACACTACCAAAGAGTGCGAGTTCGACTCGCGGGCTAGAGGGGCTCGTTTCCGCTCCGCTTCGGGGTGGTGGGCGGCCATCTTAGTTGCGCGCAATTAAGGGCTGTGGCGGGATTGGCTCCGCGTGTGGGTTCGTCGGCGGCTCCCCACCTACCAGCGCCGGATTCGGAGTCCTTCCCCGCGGGGCGGGACCTCCTAACGGCTGACTCCTTTCCAGGTGAAGGGTAATAACCCGGGTACGTTGGGACATTGAGCGAACCTCCTTGCTCCTTCCCGCGGGGGTCCTAGGATAGGCTCTATGCTCTCGCTGACCTAGGGTAGGAGATAGAGAACGGGAGGCTTTTTCTGGACTCCTTCCCCCACCTTACCCCTCCCAAAAGATGGGGGTGAGCCTTGAGAAGCCGCTTTCCCACTCCCCTACCTGCGGCTCGGCAGTACACTCCCCTTGGCCCGTGTACTCTCTAGTTGCGGCTTAACGGGACAGTGGCCAAGTCCCTCCTTTTTTCTTCTAGGCCAAACCCATTGGGGAAATACTTCTGCGTCGTCCGGAATAAGGGAGACTGTCCTAAGGCCGCCTTGCTCGGGCGCGGAGGAAGGGGGCGTGCCTTAGGACCGCTCCTGCGGCGGAGCTGGGCGCTGCGGGAAAGCGGGCAGCGCGTGAGGCTCGGCCGCTTCCGAGCTAGGCGTTCTCTTTTTTTTTTGCCTCAAGAGTTTTGTATTACTTCCTTAGAAGTTGAATGAACTCAGGTTCAACGACGAACGGTGGGATGAAAAATTAATAAGTGGGTGGTCAGGGCAATCTGAATATGATACATTAAGGCTGCCTAAGCATTTTTAGTATTACTTCCTAGAAGTTGAATGAACTCAGGTTCAACGACGAACGGTGGGATGAAAAATTAATAAGTGGGTGGTCAGGGCAATCTGAATATGATACATTAAGGCTGCCTAAGCATTTTTACTTCCTTTTCCCTTCTCATAGCTGAAGACAGACTCAAATTCTGGAAATAACGACCTAATATTATGGCCGGCAGCCCTAATGAAGATCCAGAAGGAAGCAGAGTGCGTAACAACTATTAACTTACCCGTGAACTGGAATTCAGAATAATTGACGTCAAAAGCATAAACACTTTTTAATTAAACCAATAATTGAACTGTCTTTTTTTTCTCTCTCTCTAGATGATTTACTGCAGAAAAGCTAATACAATCCTAGGCAGAGACCATCCATCACTCCTTTTACACATGCTTTACTTAATTGGTTGTAGTTAACTCCTTAAATTTTGAGGATTTAGCAGAGAGGTAGTGGTGGGAGACACAGTAAAGGAAAATGAAATAGCTTAGTATTTTTCTGTATCTAATAAAACATTTTCTTTCCCTTTGTGCTTTTTAGATCACCTATGTGAGAGGAGACCTTTTTGCATGCCCCAAAACAGACTCTTTAGCACACTGTATCAGTGAGGATTGTCGAATGGGCGCTGGGATAGCTGTCCTCTTCAAGAAGAAATTTGGAGGGGTGCAGGAACTGTTAAGTCAACGTGAGTTTTTGAAAACTAGCTTAATTAGTCTGCCTTGGCTGCAATATCTTTTGACCTTTTATTATATTTTATTAAAATACATGTGCAAAGAGGAGTGTTCCTAACCACTTAGTACTTTTAACTCTTCACATTAAGTTACTACTCCTCTATAAAAATGGCCTCTAGTTTGGCCATTGTCACACCAAACCTGAATTTTGTTAAAAGTTTCTAATCTGTTTCATAAAACTTCCTTGATATTACTCCATTTCTCTGTAACTTTTAATAACTCCGAAGTGCTGAGCAAAGTCCACAGGAAATTACTTGGCATTCAGGATCTTCTGCTGTTTACCTGCATTGCAGTTCTTGGAAGAGGAGTTCAGAAACCACCTTTTCCTTATAGACCCCTCCCATCCCTTTCTGACAGTGACTTTAAACTAGAAATGTGTATCAGTATCACATGAGGAGCTTCTGAAATAGTCACTAAGGCCACTGTCCCCACTTACTGAATCAGTCTCCTGATTCTTACTGAACGGTAATTCTCATCCCAGCTTTTTTGGCAATTTCTCACTGCTTTGTATTTGTTTGTAAATATGACACCTTCTCTTGATTGGAAACTCTTTAATAAGTAGGAACTTTTTTTATACATGTGTGTTCCTTAGAGTGCGTAATACATTTTGCTCTGTGTATATGAAGAGGTCATTATCGAATGAACACATATTTGGCACATAAGAAATGCTGTACATCCTAAAACATTTCAAGGCAATAGACAGTAACATTTAAGTAAACAAGGGTATGTTTGAAAACAGGCCGTGGAAAAGAATGTGAGGAAATCATGATTGAAAAAACATGATTAAGAGAGTTGGTAGTTAAGGCTAAAGAGCAGTGTTCATAGGAGACAGTTTCAGAGTTGAAAATTACTTCTTGTGAGTTAAACTCAGATCTGTATAAAGATTTTTTTTAAATCTAAGAATGGAGATCAGTGTTTTGATTTTGTTTTCTGCTACTAAATAACTTTTTCTTAGAAAAGAAATCTGGAGAAGTGGCTGTTCTGAAGAGAGATGGACGGTATATATATTACTTGGTAAGACGGGGCCAATTCTTAATACATTCTAAAGGTTGGTGAACAGATGGGCTGTACTGCATTTGTGTTGATCGTGATGTTCCATTCCAGCGAACCAGAGATATCAAAAAGCTTCTGATCTCATATTAACTCACATCCAGTGCTGGTGGCTGTTTGGAGCACATCCCAGCTCCATGGAAAAGTGCTGTGACATCCACCAAGAGGATTTGCAAAAGTTAGGGATGCTTCCCATGGTTTAATTCCTTCCTAATCATAGTGAGATAGAAACAATAATGTCTTTAGAGATGGATTGCCCAAAGGGGTTGTTCTCTCATTCTTCTCTGTCACACGCAGTGCCAAGTAATAACCCCTTTCCTGCCTGCTGCTTCAGTTGGGTATTCTTCCCTCGTCCAAATGGTCTTTGGCCCCAGAAAGAGTTCAGCTTCTTGGTAATGGTGCTGGGGGACTACAAGCCTGATCTGGGCAGCACATTAAATGAGGACATGTCCTGGCCCTTTTGAATGCTGTGCTTAAGGCTGACATGACTTCAGTCTTGTTCAGAATGCTAACAGTTTCTCTCATAGAGAAACAAAAAACAAGCACAGTTTCTAAATAAACAGACGTAACAGGAAATTTTCAGGTGGTCTGGGTTCTTCCTTGTTACAGATACCAGCTTATCTCTTGGAAGTGGCACAAAGACTTTCACCTACCTTGCTTAAAAACAATAGACAATAGGTTTAGCCTGCTAATCTGGGCTTCTTGGGAAAGGGAAAGACTTACACGGCAGTGTGGGTTTCTCAGTCCCTATTTAGTGGATTTTCTGGAGGGTCTCCCTGTTCTATTCTATGAGAATATACTTGTTACTTTCATTCTCAACATGTTAGGAGAATGTGATGGCTTTTCTTTGGCTATTGTTTTGGATTAATGAAAGTTTAAATTCATTCTTTGTACTCAGATTACAAAGAAAAGGGCTTCACACAAGCCAATTTACGAAAACTTAAAGAAGAGTTTAGAGGCCATGAAGTCCCATTGTCTGAAGAATGGAGTTACTGACCTCTCCATGCCCAGGCAAGGAAATCCAGGCCTCCAAATGAAGACTTGATGGGGGGAGGTTTACTGTCTCACCCAAAGACAAATGACTTAAAAGTGGATAAATGTCAAAACTTCTTAAAAGCACTAGTGAACCAGGGTTCAGACCTTAGGCCAAGGTATTCCTATTTCTTAGCCTGGGTTGAATGAGGCAGAATAGTTAAAATGCACACCTGCCTCAGCCTACCTCGTAGGGATTCATTTGTTGAAATCTGGGCATCTTCTGCCTGAAGCATAGCCTCTATTTCTGAAGCAGTAAACTGAAAAGTGAAGACTGAGCAATTGTGAGTTTCTTTTTTGCTATTTCAGTTATCCCAGACCTGTTAATTCTGTGTGAAGAAAGTTGTAAATTAGTGCCTTTTAAACTGCATACTTATTATGGTCAGTGTGGGTAATAGAGGACATATTCCTAATGTCTCAGATCCTTGCTATTGGTAACTTAAGGGAATGATATTAGAGGTTCAGTTATCCCCTTTGCTTCCTTTTCAGTAAATAAATAGGCTCGGGGTCACCTCTTGTTGGTTAGTTTTGCGTCTGTGCTGACCATGTGTCTAGGTTTATTCTAAGCCCCAAGTTACTTGTGAATGTGACTACAGAGTCCCTCATCTCACTAATGGTTTTTAATATGCTCACGGTTTGTTTCAGAAATTTTTCTGTTTTTTAATCAGAATTTTTTCAGGGGCTTAATTATCATACTATCTGAAATCAGCAATTTTAAGCCTCTCTTTTTTTCCCTAGGGATATTGAGGATCAATAATGCAACATCTTGAAAGAAAGGTGTCAGGTAGTAGGGCTGATTGAGGTTTCTCACCAGGTTGTTGCAGACCTGAATTACAGTCAGCTTGGCATTTCCCAACATTCCATCTTGATTTCCTTTTTGCAGAAATCTTATCCTGTGTCCCTCTTCTTCTTATGTTTCCTTAACATTCCATTATCGTAAATGTATTTTTAAAGTACCAGCCTTTTCCCATCCACCCACAGCTAGTTTTCACAGCTAGACAGAGGCATAGTGACTCTCCCATGTCACAGCAGAGTTATATTTCTCTAAATTGAGCCTGAAATAATTGGGAAGGGATACTTTATGAGGCAAGAAAGAAGTGACAGCTGTTGGATGTTAGGGCTGTCTGGGAACAGCCTTAGGTGACTCAGCAGGAATTAACTTCCAAACTCCCACTATGGTTGCCTGTAGGTGTAAGACCAAACAATTACTCTTTATGCTTTGGGTGGATGCACTCCAAAGGAAGCGGGAAGGAGTGATTTTTCTAGTACTTCACAACCAATGGAGATGTTTGTCTTTTTTCAGGATTGGATGTGGTCTTGATCGTCTGCAATGGGAAAACGTATCCGCAATGATTGAAGAGGTGTTTGAGACAACAGACATCAGAATTACTGTGTACATTCTCTGAATAGATGAGCATGTTGGATGTGTTCACATTCTCCTGTGTCATCCCTGTTGGGCCTTAGAACTGAGCAAACTGACCTTAAAATGGTCAGAGGAAAGCTTCATATGCGGTAGTATGTGGCACAGCCTTGGACTTGGGTTGCTATATTCTCATGAGTGGACTGGGTCTCTGGAGGAGGGATTGTTTGGAAAATGTTGCTGTGATTTTTTTTCTTTTTTTTTTTAAAGGAATGTATGGAGTAGATGGCCTGATACCAGGCAAGGAAACCGCATGTTAGACCTATGACCCATGTTTTGCTCCAGGGTACTACCTGATTTGTTTGGCTTGCCACTAGGTGGCAGCATTGATTCTACTTCTCTGCTGTTCAAGAGAAATTTGAGGAAGGACGAACATTGCAATTTATTTTGCATCTTTTGTTATTTGTGCACTTGCTTGGTATTTTTCTTATATCATCAGATTCATCCTAGTTGAGAATTACAGGTTTTGTTTTGTTTAAATTAGAAAAAAAAGTTTTCTGTTAACAAGGAATTTGTGATGACAAAAATAGAAAAATAAATACTTTTTTTGTGGTCCATTGAGGTTCTTCTGCACATGTCTGTGTTGTTCTGGACTTGGGTAATGGAGGATTTACCTGTACCTTAATTTGGAAGAGTCAGACAGACAAAGAGCAACAAGGTGAGAATTAAGAAACAAGAAAGAACAGAAACTGTAGGTCAACATAAGGGAAAGGCAGGTTTTTAGAATTTTCTTTGGTGAACTCTCCTGTGCACTACGTAGCTTCTGTGATTGCACCTGTCTGGATTCAGTCATGAAACATGAAACAATGTATTTAATGCCTGGCAAAGTGCTTAGTGCAGGGTAAGGACTCAATAAATCAGTGGTTCTCAACATACTCTATATATAATCTTCCTTAAAAGAAAAAAGGTCTACTTCCTCCAAAAATTCTATTTTGATAGTCAGGGTGAGGTGAGGAGGGGTATGGCCAGGTTTCTTTGTTTTTTTAAGCTCCAAGAGAATTTTGATGTGCAGCCAATGGATGGAGAACAGTAAATATTAGTTCCCATTTATTGCTAAGCTAAGAGGGCAGCACTTTGTCCACTCTTGTTTTCACAGTGGTAGAATAAGGTTCACAGATTCAGTATCAGGTATTGGGAAAACTGGTGGAGTTTTCTTTTTTTCCCCTTAGTGTTCCGAGTTAAAACAGTCAGACCTCCTATTGATTTTCTCCCTAGAGTGAATTCTGGCTCTGTCACAGGATATGCTTGCTGCTTTCCCAAGAGCAGAAGAACTGGATTTTAGAAGGGGCTTGTTGAAGCACAGGAAAACGCCGGTTAAATATAATCTTTGTACTTTAGACTTGTGTTCTTATCACATTGCAGCCTGATATGAGGCAGCAATTTGAAAAAGTACTTTTCTATCTCTATGTAGAACAGACAAGTTCTCCATGTTGTTGGGGTAGGAGCAGGGCAGGGGCAAGTTCATTATCAAACTTTTAGGTTAAGGTTTTTCTTCACATACAGTAAAACTGAAGGGAAAAGGGACAGAGATAATATCTACACAGCTTAAAATGAGAGTGAAATGGTAAGAGGAAACAGTATTTTGCTTAACTGCAAATAAATTTTAATAAGTCAAAACATTGATTTTGTAAGCTACATTAAAAGGAATTAGGGCTAATTTTTTTCATGGAGTGTGAGCCTTGGTTTTTTTATTTTTTAACAAAACCAAGTCCTATGGAAGACTGGCTGGGATTCTGGGACTTGGCAGGGGTATGATAAGTTTTACCATTTGCAGATAGTCTTGGGGTCAAACTCTGATGACTTAATCATGCTTGAAGCTTGGGGAAAGGAGGCATAGCCTGATAATCAGAATGAACACGTTATTCTTGGAAACTGGTCTAGAGTTACGCAAACACCCAGACATGTATATGTGGAATTTTGCTTCTATTTAGGACTCAAACCTAAGAAGTTGACATAGTTCTGCCATCACCACCAAGTACCACATTATTGGCTACTCTTACATTATGAGTATTGAACATTGAAATACTACCTCTCATCCTCTCCTCTTTAATTGAGGCTAATTGCTTATTAATTGGCAGTTGGAATGTGGATACTTCATACAGATTCCCCACACTTTTATTACACCCACTTGTCTTCCAAGATGGGAAAAGGCATTCATTTACAAGTAATTTCAGAAGAAAATATCTTTGAAGGTCAAGACCAGCATAGGAAATCTGCATGGGAAAGTTAGAGTCCTGTGTTGCTTAGACAAGTCCTGGTTTAAGCCTCCCTTCCACTTGGTTCCCTCCGCTTGGTTCATAGCCTGGGACATATCTATTCCTGGGACTTGATAGAGCTATGGGACTGTTTGTAGTAAACTTCTAAATGTCCAAGTTCCTTAAGAAACCTGGTCACCAAAAAAACCCATACCACTTATTTTATTAATGTGTTTTTCTTACTTAAAAAAGGCAAATTAACATAAAATGCATTCTGGACATTTCAAAGATCTGTGCAGACCTTGGGTCTGAGGCTTTTTGCCTTAAGCAGCCCATTTGGGGGAATAATTAGGATCTTCAGTCCCACGGATGCCTGGTGCCCATACGTGTTTACCATTCCTCCTTGTAACTCACTTTCCTCTTTCCCAACAGCAGTCATAGAAAACGAGGCACAGCTTAAATAATTTAAAGCAGGAGAAGTGTATTTAAAGTCCTTGGAGGGCACATGTAGTAGGATTCACTGGTGTTGAATGTTGTCCAGTGCCAAGTGGTATTAGAAGTCAGGCATATCCCAGATGGCCACACAGGTCATTGCTGTCTCTATGGTAGCAGGCAGACCTTAGTGAGAAAACAGAGAGTATGTTACTGAGAGCCCTACTGGCCCTACACGGAACAGTATGGTTGAGCTAGGGTTTCATGTGTCTTCCCAGCAAGGCCCTGAATTTCTCCTCCATACTCTCCCTTGATTACTGGTTTGCCCAGGATTGGATTTGTTTTATTCATGTTTTGGGGTGGTTCACTCAGAGAAAGCCCCAGAAGGGATTTGCTTAAGTCTGTTCTCTTGAGTTAAATACATGGTTAGGTCCTGTCATTTTTTCCCTAAAGAATGGAATATGAAATATGAGGCAAATTTTCTTTTAACAAATGCCCTTTTCTTGGTAGTATTTTAATTAAGCAGAGTTGTTCTTTTGGGCTTTTAGATTACAACTTGATTTCATGCCAATTTTTTTTTTAACTTGGTACATTTTAACCTTTCCCTTCAGGAACATGAGCAACTCAAATAGAATACACAGAAGCATGTTAATGGGTCCACATAATACATATGTACACTAATGGAAGGAGACTTATAATGTGGAACACATCTGCCTTGCTGGAGGTTTCAGTCTGCGGCAAGTTCATGCTTGGCTCGCTGAGACGGAATGGCAACAATGGAACGTTGGGATAAAAGTTTATACCAAGCTTTACTGTGGTGGCAGGTCAGGCACTGGAATTTCGTCCACCTCTGGGGCAATCTGCTTGCTGCAAACAGGTCTCTGCCTCCGGGCCTCTCCTGCCCCGAAGTCTCAGTCTCTGTCCTTGGCGCTGCCATCACTCCAGCCCCTGCTCTCTTGCAGCCACCCAGCCCCAGAGCACTGGGTGGAGCTCCTTCTATAGAGTCAATAGTAACTCATTGCTCACACATGTGCAAGCATACGCCTGTGACCATTGTATATATACGCAGTGGGCAAGTATCTGTCAGGTGAGAATCCTGGCCATGGTAACTTCCATGTTCCCCACAATGCCTAATAACATTTTATTTAAATAAAAAGACTTAGAAATGGACTTTTCCCTCAAACTGAGTTTCAGACGTTATCTTTAGGAATCTGTTTTAATTACCACTTACCACCACCCAGAAGTGACCCTCAAACTGAGTTTCAGACGTTATCTTTAGGAATCTGTTTTAATTACCACTTACCACCACCCAGAAGTGATGTGTTTGATGTGAGCGGAGTACTGTGTGGCATTACTTGGCCATAGTCTCACTGAATTCAGTCAGTGGGCCCTGCTTTTTGTAAGAAATGGCTGAAAATCGTGTCTGTGGATTGGCGAATGGTAGGCTGGAGAATTATCAGGCACCCTGAGGCATGTCTAATGGCAAACACCTGCCAACATCAAGCTTCAGAACATTGATATTTCCAAAACGTGTCTTTGAGTTGACATCTCTTAATAAGAGTAGATACCAAAAGTAAATGATATCTTTATGGAAGCATGCTGCTTTCCTGTTTTATTAATATGCAAATTATTCCAGACTTAAAGTTACGAGGATGCTGAAGACCCTTTCTCTGTTACTTGAGGATTTTGATCAGGTTTTGTAAAGGGCCTTACTCCTAGCATTTCTGTGGGAGCAAACTAGATCAGACTAAATTCTAAAAAAGATAGTAAAGGATCCTCTACCCTCTTTCCTGAGGGTAATCGGCCTGTTTCTGTAAAAGTCTAATTTACCCTCAGCAAGTGGCCAAATTGGCCTTAATTGTGTCCTGATTATTTGCCTAAATAACTAATCTTTACTTCCAGTTCTCCAATCACTTGATATCTGTAGGAGACTTACTTCAGAGCAGCTGCCTTATTTACAAACATATTTTTAACCCTTTAGAACACTCTTGCATAGAAGAACATGTTGCGATATTACCCCCATTCCTGCATTCAGCATTTTTCTATGCGTTCTGCTTGAAGTCTTCACAAGAAAAATGTTCTGGTATTATACTACATTCACACAGCAATTACTGGTCTGCCTCAAAGCAGAATATTTGTTTGAAAACATGAAAGTGTCTCTGGCCAAAAAAAAAAGTTGGATACAAATCCATTTGGGCACTTTCAAAGTACCAAAAAAGAAACAAATTTCCCCTGAAAGAATGAAAAGCCTGTGTGAGAGAAAAATGGAATGGTAAGACTGCAAATGCCAGAGGGAGGAGGGCGTCCAGGTGTCCAGAGTTGGTAAGTCTGGATACAGGTACACAGGGATCATGCTCAGGGGACTGAAATACCCTCTCTGCTGTTGTTCAGCAGCAGGTTCCTGCGCCATCTAAGTCTTCCCATGGAAAATCACTTTGTCGGATTCCTGTCAACCTTGAGTATTCCAAGTTATGGCGGAAGTTAGACATAAAGGAGTAGGAGAGAAAAGGATTTAGGGAGAGGAATTTAGAGGAAAAAGAAAATTTAGACAAGATCTTCTCAAATGTTTTACAATCAACCATAAGCGGGGAAATGAAATTCTGTCAGAGAACCAAATGTATCACTCGTTGCACCTGACCTCTAGCCTTCCACCCAAGTCAACGCTTACGCCCAACAGAGTGTTGGTGCCAGGACTCACGTGAGGCTACGTGCAGCGCCTACTTCAGGATGTCTGCCAACTTCTCCTCGTAGTACAGGAAGTTCTCCTGAATGTCCTCCCAGGGCTCAAAGGCCTTGGATTGGCCCTCCTCTTGCTCCACAAAATTCTGCCAGACGTATTCGAAGTCCTGGGGCTTCATGATGCGCAGCTTGCAGCCAGCCTCCTTCAGCTTCCGGATCGCTGCCCGGATCTCCGGCTCCTCCCACATGAAGAGGCGCCCCACCAGAATGAGCAGGCGCAGGTTCTTGGCGTTGCTGAGGGTTTTGACGATGCGGTCGGCGCAAGCCGCGCAGGGGCTGGAGGACACGTACCAGGTGACACTGTACCGCAGGGCCGAATCGAAGGCTGGCATGATGTTGTTGAAGAAGGCTTCCTCCGCATGGGCTGCGGCATGCTCATCCTCTAGGTATCCCCGGGTGGCCTGCACTTGGCCTCCCTTGCTCTGCGCTTCAACCACATAGCAGAGAAAGGTTTTGTTGCGCCCGGAGCTGTATTCCACATTCCGGAACTGAAACTTGAAGAAGTTGACAGGCAGCCGCTCCCTGTGGGTCAAAGAGACAAGGGGAGGGGAAGAAGAGAGAATGCTGAGTTCTCGTTTCCAGGACCAGCTGGAGTAGGTAGCTCTCCAAGATCAGTACCTCAGAGACACATTCACTCTTACTATCTGAACAGGCCTTTCCTACACTCACAGCAGTGACGAAAAGGCAGGACAAGAAGCCAAAAGGGTGCACCTGCAGGAGAGGATAGGATTTGGAGTGAGGTGTGCATTCTGCTCACCTTGTTAGGAAGGGTCTCCATACACTCCACATGCCTGCATTTCTGACTCAGTCTTTAACCTGGCTGTACATCAGAACCACCAACAGGACTCTACAAAAGTCAATGCCTGGGTCCCACCAAATCAATTAAATCAGAAAATCTGGAGGGCAGCCAGACATCAGCATTTCTGAAAAGCACTGCAGATCATTCTAATATGTGGCCAAGTTTGAAAGCAGTGTTCAAAGCATAGTTTTGCAAAGTAATAAGTGTGGATTATTTCTCATGACAGAGCAAGACAAAGATTCAGCAAACCATTGCATACGTTCCTCTCTCCTCCTTGTCACTCCTGTATATTGTATCTTAGCCATGCTCTCCTAGTGACTGTTTATCTCAAGTCTATCTTTTGCCCCAGGAGGGTTGTCACATTAATGTCCAAGAATTTTTATCTTTGAGGCCAGACTACCCAAGGGTACCTTGATATGATTTAGCTTGTATATAGTATTGAGTCATTTCAGAACCATAAAAGACTTGACCTCTGCCTGTATATGCTTATAATCTAGCAGCTCGATTCTAGCTAAGACAGCCGAGAACATAAGAAGACTAGTAGGTAGAGTGGGGGACATATGATGAAGGTTCTTGAAAGTTTAGCCTTAATTTAGGAGGCCATAGAGAATTGTTACAGATTCTTGAGTAAAAAAAAGACATAATAAAGGTGATGTCCACTGAAGATGACTATGGTAGCTTTAGGAAGAGAGAGTGAAACTGGGGAAAAGACTGGAATTAAGAAGGGCTGCTTGGTGTCCTAGGACAGCAGACTTGGTGATGAATATGTCCAGTGGCTTCAAGGGGAAGATGGGTAGTTAGGAAATGAAAGCAGCAGCAAAGGGACAGCTTTGGGGGAAAGTCTAGTAGTAATAAGGAGAGAAAAAAGGAGAGGGAACTAGAAAGGCCCTTAGAGCTGAAGATTGTTTTTATCCTTCATGTGTGTGTATGTGTGTTTCTGAAATAGGGAAGATCTGTGCAGGTTTGAAGGCCAAGAGGAATGAGGAGACTTTAACAGGAGAGATTGAAAATGTCAGGAGAGGAAGGGATGAGTAACAGCTGCAGAGGTTGAATGTTTTCTTTTCTAAAAATGCAGTCTCTGTGGTTGCACCACAAGATGTCTTATAGCAACCATTAACTCTGCTGTTGCTTCTCTATACACCTTTCCTGTTTCCAGAGAGGGATACTCAACCCCTGGGCTGCAGAGGAATCCCTGGTGTCCCAGGGCCTTGACTTCTTAGGGATAAGTAGCAAATGCCAAAGAGCTAAATAAACTGGAGCTACTTCTCTGCAGTACTCCCCTCCCCCATGATAAAATTTCCTCACCCAAGTTTCCATGTCTCTTGCTGTCAAGTTAAATTTCCACTGTGCAGATGGATGTGTTTGAGGACCTCGCCCCGGGATTCCTTCGGGTACTATACTTAGCTCTTTTAAGCTCCTGTCTCCAGTTGGATGTGTCTATTATTTACTTAGCATTTTGGGAGAATGGATGGCCTGATGAGTCCTTCTCCTCTTTCAATCCCTGCTGGGAGTTCACCTACACTGTTTTTTCTCCAATTAAACTCACCCCACAAGACCACTCCTGAATTTTACTGGTTACAAAATGGTCCCTTCACTTCCTGGAGTGGCTTTCTTTCTCCCAAGAAACACAGAATTTACCTTTTTTGCTCTTCTAGGCCTTTTGCCAGACCCCTCTGTACCCTCAAGCCTAATCCAGAGCCACCGGAGTGATGGATTCTCAGCTAGAAGCCTAGGAAGTATTTATGACTGCGTGGCTGTCATGACTACAGGGCTTCTGCAATAGCTGTCTGTGTGGTCCCTCAGATTTCCTCCTAGAACCCCCAAAGCATTGCTCCAACTTTGCTAAGTACAATTGACTCTTGAACAATGAGGGGGCAAGGGTCACATACTCCCTGAACAGTTGAAAATCTACACATAACTTCTGCATTGCCCCAATCTTAACTACTAATAGCCCACTGTTGACTGGAAGCCTTACTGATGACATCAACAGTTGTTTAACACATATTTTGTATGTTACATACTGTATTCTTAGAATAAAGTAAGCTAGAGAAAATAATTTTTTTCAAGTTGTAAATCTCCAAGAATTTTTCTAACATACTTATTGAAAAAATCCACTTAGAAGTGGACCTGTGCAGTTCAAAACCATTGCTGTTCAAGGGTCCACTGTACAGCCCAGCTGAGAGTATAAATTTGGCCCAGCACGTAATTGCAAATTGGCTGAATGGCCTGAGATTACTGCTTCTCTCAGTCCCATTTAAGCTCTGACGTTCCTTACGCAAGAGGACAGGACCCAGAGAAACCTGAAACCTGAGGGATAGGAGGAAAGTTCTCCTCTCTATAAATACCGATTTCCAGCCTCCAGTTGCCAGCAGCCCCACTGTCTACTCCGCCCCTCAGGAGGGCCTTCTGTGTTAGGTGCTTCAGGAAGGGAAATGCTTTCAAAGGGCAAAGCAAAGGTCTTGGCTCCCCGTCTTTCCTATGGGCTTGCTCAGAAATTGAGCTTGCTTGACTTCTTAATGGGCTTCTTGGTCTTTTAGAAGTAGGGAGAAAATGGTCAGATGAGCTCTCTGGATTTCCCACAGACTGAAACAGCCACGTCCTGAAGGGAAGCCAGGAGAACAGAGGTGGTAGAAGTCTGAAATTTCTCCAAGAGTTAGACAACATGGCCGTCTTGGATGGTATTATAGAATCACAGAATAAGTCAAAACTATTATGTCTATGAGTGGAAGAAAGGACATAGTGCCACTAATTTAGATCATCACAAGCATCTTTTTTTTCTTGTTGCATCATATGCCTGAGCACCATATTTACTTATATTAGAGCCCTTTACTGTCAACCCCAACAGATGTTTTACTGCTAAAGTGGTGTGTGTGTGTGTTTCTGTGGGTGGTCAGGAGAGATGCTGGTAGTAGATTTCTTCATCTGGGCTCTGTCACTTTCTTCAGGCACCTGAAACCTACAGCATTATCCCTGCCCCTCCCCCTGCCTCAGATCATGTTTCTTTAGGCACCACTTCCTCATACTTTCTGCAAACAAGGCCATTCACACCTCCTTTGCAGAGACCCAGGCTACTGGGCAATGAGTTCTCTGGGCAGGAAACCCAGAATCCTAACATCTAGAAAAGCAAATTCAGATGATCAGCTTGATGGAAGGAAAAGGAATGGGAGTAAATATAATACATATATATTTTTTTCTCACATTCATGTTTAAAAATATTTGCATTTCCGAAGCATAGATCTATACAGTGAAAGGAAGCAACTGGGAAGGCAGTAGAAGGCAGTCTGAGATTAAACATTCGCCCCAAAACAATCCATGGAGTGGAAAATCTACTCACAAGTAATTGATTGTTGACTTGTTTCAGCTTTCCTCTCTAGACCATTCATGACTTGCTCAAAAGAGGCAAAACTGCCTGTTTCAGTTTCTTTTTCCCTCTTTCAGACCACTATCAAAGCAGATGCTAAGGAGTGGGCGTAGTCTGAGGAGAAGGGAAGTAGAGAGTTCTAACAGCCTGACTTCCTAGGGCTGAGAGGGGTTTGAGGCTCTGCTTGCTCCTGATCTGTAGTTCTGGATGGGATTCTGCCCAAGGTGAGCCCTGAGTCCACCACCTTTTCAGAGAGACACCACCTTTGCACCTGAGCTTTGACCTTCCATGCTCCAACACCAACTGTCAATGGAGGCCAGTGTGGCCAGAGTCAGTGGCTGTGTTCTAGTCTTTACGGAACACATCTTTCCAGCATGCTCCAGAATCCAGGGCGAGGGGTGAAGGGCAATAACAGGGTGTTGCAGGCCCCTCACTCCTTACCTGTCCCTTCTCCTCTGAAGCCTGCCTCACCTCTCTCTTATCATGGGGCCAGAGTGAACTACAGGCAGCGAAAGAAGTGGTTGGAAGGGGAATCACTGTGTGCACCATTGATCTCTGTCCATAACAGCCCCTTTGATAGCAGGTTCAAACCATTGTATATGGTTTTATGGAAAATGTAACTAGAGACAAAAACAAACACACAGCAAGGGGGCCTGCTGGGCCGAGCACAGTCACTCATGGCTGGGATGGAGGATGAGAAGACATGCGATTCCTGTGGCCTAGAGCTTCCCTAAAGCACATTGAGTTTCAAGGCAGGCATGGCCTTTTCTCCTCAAGAAGCCCTCCATCCAATTAATTCCCTAGCCTAACACCTGGTAGAGAGCCTAGTACACATAGGTGCTCATTCATTAATTCATTCATTTAGTCCACAAATATTTATTCAGTACCTATCAGGGACTAGGTACTATTCTTGAGACTAGGGACAAAGCAGTTAAAAGGTAAAGCCCCTGTCTTTAGTGAGTTAAATTCTAGTGGGGAAAACAGGCAGGAAATCATTCAGTAAATATTTGTTGAGTGTAAAAAGATTCCTCTTTATGGCTTTTCTAGATGCAGCGTGGTGATTTGGAGTCAGACAGTCCTGGGTTCATGTCCTACTCCATCTACCAGCTTTGGGCAAATTGCTAATCCCTCTGAGGCTTAGTTTCCTTATCTGAAAGATAGGTCAGGCCACCCAGCCTCTCAGATTTTGGAGAATGGTCATGACATTCAAGAAATCAAACCTAATATTGATGGATGGTACCTTCTCTGGGTCTTCAATCTGACCCCTCAGAGCTCTATCTTAAGTCCTGTGAAGTCTGATCCCTTCTCTACTCTTCCTCTCGTTTCCGGAGGCTCTCTTTCAATGGTGAGCTGGTTTAACACCCAGCTCTCTGAAAGAACTTGTAAAAAATCACCTGATTTCTAATGTTTGCTGATTTCCATAAACACTCCCACTATTGAGATTTCAAGAAACCGACAGTTAAGTCACTAAGTGCACACCATCAACTCTCAGCCAATGTAAACTGGCTTCCACATACCACTGCAGCCTTAGACTTTTTTTTCTAGCACTTTCCACCACGTTATTTTGTTAATGTCCTTAGGTCTGCTTTCTATCCTGAGTGCCCTGTTCAAGCCAGAATCAGGATAAGTGAGGCATCTTTCTCCTTATTCCTACCTTGTATTCCCTCCTCACCTCAGACTGTTTTGCAAAAGCCGCCAGCTCTTCTGATGGTTTTTGGCTCACATCTAAGGAGTGGAATGGACAGACCTATCTCCGGTGGGCATCCAGGCTCGGAGAGGAGCTGCAGGGCATCTGGGGAAGTAAGGAGGGGGAAGCCACTCCCCTCTCTTGTGCCCACACAGACAAAACTGCAACTCTGGGCTATTTTAAGCCATCTGTTTACCCAGCGGGGCCGAGGAGACAGATTTCTTCAGCTGTTACTTTGGCCAGGATGCACCCAGGGCTCCACCTCCCTCCTGAACTGCTCTCAGAGTGCCTAGAATACTGCCTTGCTGTGCGTCTTTTTCTGAGCCTCAGGTCAGGTCAGAGACACCCCTGAGTTCCACTGCCTCACAGATGGAAGATAGATGGAGAAAACCTGGGATCCAGAATGAGTAAGAGGCCAGTGGGAAAGACCCTTGGCTGGAGTCAGAAAACCTGCCACTTACGGTTCTGCGGTCTTGGACAAGTCCCTCAACCTTGCTGACTCTCAGTCTCTCCACCTGTAGAACAGTAATCATCTGTCTCCCTCTCCTAACATTGTGCTGAGGGTTGAATGAGCTCATGCACGCAGAGGTATGCTGTGATTATAAAGCCCTGGACAAATGTAAATTACATCAGAGGATGTAATCCTTTCGGACCCACCATCCTGGAACCCAAAAGCATGTTCAACTCAACGCATATAGTCCAATTCTCTTCTTGACCTATCCTGCCCTGTGCTGGGGGCTTCACAACACTGCACTGAGAGGGTGTGTCTGTGCCTGTGTGTGACCAGGGCAGCATGCTGAGGTGTTAGAAAAAGGATCTCCTTCCATAGAGAGCCCAGGAGGACTGGCCTGGCCTGTTGGCCCTAGGCTCTTCCTATGCCTACATTTGTGCTCCTCTGTTCCTTTAACCCTAGGATGAGGGTGATATTAGTTGGTTGGGCATGGGTGAAATGCAAGATCAGTGGTTCTTACCTGAACTTTCCCTCAGGAACTACCACCCATTTTTCCTCAGGTTCTCTCAGAAACTAGAAAATATCTGCACTGAAGGGAACTTCGGAATCAACTAGTGTAACTTACTTGTGTTATAAATGGAAACACCAAGGCCAGATCTGTAAAATCCCTCCAAACTTAAAAGGGCAAGTCCAAATTGCCAACCCAGGCTCATGCCCCTGAGAGCACTACGCCTCTATTCTGGAAATTTCTCTTAGCGTGGCCCCTACGCTGCCTGTGGGCATAGCTGGAGACTCCCGTGAAGGAAACTCAGGGCTCAGGGAGGAAATGTGGCCCCGTGTATTCCCTTGTCTACTCTTTACTCTAGGAACTTAGCAGGGCCTCCCCTGAAGGACGGGACCGCGAAGAGGGGGAAGAGCACTTGGTTCTATTGGTGCTGGAGGTGGCACAGTCTGGACAAGACAGAGGGACCCTGTATGCAGCCCCCTTTTGGAGCCTTGAGACCCTTTGCTTCAGGTCCTGGTTCCTCCAGGCTGTGGCTGAGGCGGTGGGAGGTGGGATACCTCCTCTGGCCAGAAGCTCCTGGCCCTGCCCTGCATTATCTATATGGGGTAACTGCTCTGATTCCTGGGGGTGGATGCAGACAGCCCCATGGAAGACAGAAAAGATACAACCAGAAAAAAAAATGCTTCTCCCTCAGCCTTGGGGAAGGATAGATCTGTCTTCTTTGTCTTAGGGTCTTTGGTTCCAGAGAGAAGCTCTAGAGCAAGAGCGAGAGCCATACAGAAACCGAGGGAGAAGTGGAGGAGGAGGTACTGTGACTGACTGGGGCCATCGTTAATGTGCCAGCGGCATCCTTGTCCTCCCAGGCACCCTGGGACTTCAGTCTCAGCTTCCACCAAGAGAGGCAGGGGACGTCTCAATACTAGGAGGCCTGAGGTCCTTGCCTGCAAGGAGCTCCTCCTACCTCCACCTGATTAGCGAGCAGGTCCAAGGCGTCACCCTGGGAAACCAAGGGAGATTTGCCACTGTGTCCCCTGCAGCCCCTGCCGTGCCCACTTAAGTGTTCTCTCGGCTGCAGTATTGTGACCCTGGCTGCTATTCTTACCATCCTAAATTCCCCCAGCCTGCCCCTGCCCGCGCTTTTCTAGGAAGGGGGATCCCGGCCCACATCTGGGTCTCACCCTGTGACTATCTCAAAGGGCGGCAGTTCAATCAGCTCCTTCAGCTTCTCGGGGTCCTCCAGGTTTTCCAGATCCTCCCCATTCTGGGAAGCAGGCGCTGCGGCAGCGGCCTCCTCGTCCTTCTCGGCCATGGAGAGGTTGTAGCTCTGGAGCGGCTGAGAGGACAGATGGCGGTCTGGGACCAGGGCCTTGCGGCAGACTCGCAAGCAGCTGTCAGCAGCTGAATCTGCCTGGGGATGACGGGGACAGGCCGGACAGGACAGGCTTAGTGCTCTCAACCCCCTGGGCCACAGGCTTTATAACCCGAGGCCTCCTGCCCCTCCCCCAGGTCCTCTCCCTCTATCATTTTTTTTAATTGAGTGACAGCAAGTGCCAGGCTGGGGGAAATGGAAAATCTGGCCATTAGTATCCCCTATTTATCAGTAGGCCAAGACAGGAAGTTGGCAGGTGGGATGGCTTGGCCTGCTCTCTCTCCCCCTGCAGGCTCACCATATATTCATATTCTCTCCTTTTTCCTTCTCCTCCCTCACCATAGATCCTTCTCTTTGTTTCCCATCCAACTTTTCCAGTGCCACTGGGGGACTGTAGAAGGGCCTCGTGCTGTGCATCTTGACATTTAGGAAAGAAAAGCTCTCTCAGAGGTTGAAGCAGGATGAGGCATATATTGAATGGGGTGGTTGCAAAGAGACCCCGACCATTTGGAAAGAGGGATTGGGTTCAGGAAAGAAGGGTCCTGAGATGGGGTGGGATAAGAACTGCCAATTTGGAGAGCACTGGGTTGTTACTCAGAGGGATAGGGTGCTGATTTGCCTATTACAGACCCATAATGCAACGTCAAATTGACCAGGGCCTCCAGTATTAACAATAGTGCCATTTACTAATCTTTTTGAAATAAGTCTAGGCCATGAGTTTAATGGTTTATATGTGAAATTGAGCTTATTGCTCTCAACAGCCCTGGGAGGGAATATGTACCATCTCATGTTACATATGGGAAAACTGAGCCTCTCAGAAGGGTTAAGGGCTTTGACTATGGTCATACAGCCCATGAGTAGCAGAGCCAGGATTAAAACCAAGGCCTTTCTACTGCAGAGACCAAACATTCAACCTCTATGTGCTGCCTCTCAGTCAGTCCTTTATTTATTTAACAAATATTTATTAAGCACCTACTTACGCACATGCTGGTTCAGGTACTGGGAAATGGCAAAGAACAAAACACATGAAAACCTCTGCCTCACAGAGCTTGAGAGGTTGGACAGCAGACAAGATGAGTAATACATATGTGTGGTCTATTTGTTGGTGCTAAATGCTAAGAAAAGGCAGGGAAGTGGGACAGAAGTGTCAAGAGGTCAGGTCACATCTTTATAGGGTGGCCAGGAAGGACTTTAAGAAGGAGACAACTGAGAAAGGCTCAGAAGGTTGTGAGGGAAATAATTATATGGATAGCTAATGGGAAAGTGTTCCAAAGAGGGGGAGAGCAGGTATAAAGGTCCTGAGGTGGGAGCATTCCTGGTGTGTTTGAGGCACAAGCAAGGATTCCTGTGTGACTGGAGAGTCCTAGGAGATGAGGCCAGAGAGATAAACATGGGCTAAATAACAACCCTTATAGGCTGTTATAAGGACCTTCGCCTTTTCTCTAGTGAGATGGGAAGCCATTGTCTGAACAGAGGCGGTACATGGTCTGACACAGTTTTACAGGCCCACCAGGCTGCTTGGTTGAGAAGAGACCAGAGATGGGAAAGATCAGAAGCAGAAGGACCAGTTATAAACCTAGTGAAAGTCATGAGAGAAGATCCCTAAGCTGAAACAGCATCAGAAGATGGATAGATGATTTCTGCAGTCTGCAGCATGGATGGTTAGCAGGGACCACAGGTTGTATCTGGGGCAGTTTCAAATGCTCTAGGATATTCTCAGGGCAACAGATGGGTGGGGTCAGGGTCACCTAGAGGTTGAAAATGAGCAGCCTAATGACACTGGGGAACTGGTCTCAACACAGCTCCAAACGAGGTTGGGTGTTAGAGATGAGAAGGTGGGGTACCTTTCCACAGTCTGACTAGAGAATAGGAGTCAGGATGGTTTAGAGTATTTGGGGCTTTCCCGCCTCCAGAGAGTTCTGAGCAGCACAGGGCCCTGTGAGTAAGATGCCCAAGCACTTTGTTTTGCCCAGGATTGTCATAGTTTATACCTATTGTCCAGGCATAATTACTATGAACAACCCGTTTCACTATCAAAGTGCCCTACAATAGACAATGAACTCTACCATCACCCTACCTATTGGGCTTACTACTAAAGTCATTCTTTTCCAGAGATTCTTTTTTTCAGACATTTTTCCAGGGGTGTAAAACACAGGGTAGGGGCAATAGAGCCTGTGTCCATAAAGAAAGGCAGCGATCGCTGATAAGTAGCAGACACCCATTATTATCATTATCATCGTCACCCAAACACAGCATTTAAATGCAAAGCGTTTACTTCATTCTATTATTTGATCAACATCTGTGGAAGGCTCCAAAGCACCAGGCACTGTAGTAAAAGCAAGAATACAAAGATGATCAAGGCACTGTCTCATCAGGAGCTCCCAGGCTTTGTAACATTTGGGGCATCCTCCTGGCACTCAGGCATGCATTATCTCATTTAGTCTTCACACCAAGCTCACAGAGGCGGGTGTTATTGCCTCATTTTGCAGGTTGGGGATCTACAGCTCAGAAACGTACAATGATTTGTGTAAAAGCACACAAAGACTTAAGTCCAGGTCTCCTGAGCCCAAGTTCTTCTTTCCAGGGCTGCCCCCAGCTATTTCTGACAAACCCACCCCTAAAGCATAATCTGTGTTGCACAGGACATTCCTCTCCCACTTCCAGTTTGCAGCTTCAGTGACATGCTTGGGTCAGCCGAAGAAGAATGAAATGTCTGGCAGGGGCAAAGGAAGGAGGAGAGATCTTTTCAGTTTCTCTGTGGGTAACACTTCTTCCCTGAGGACAGATTCTTATATTTTGGCTGTCATGTATAACGCTGGATTGGAAGGGGAAAAAAAATCCACGTTCATGTTTCCATCTCAGCCCTTGATTCACTGTGTGATCTTGGCCAAATCACTTAGCATCTCTGGGCCTTAGTGGTCCCACCTCTGACATAGGTTGAGTTATTGCTCTTTATTCAATGGTGGTCAAAGGGATGAAAATGAGGAAGCAGGGCTGGCTTCTGAAGACCTGCGGGATGGAGATGAACAGTGGGATGAAAACAGATGTTGGGAGATAGTCCTCTCTGACAAACTACCTGACCCCACACCCATATACAGTTTTTCCTTTGACATTTGGAAGAGTGCTCTGGACTGATAACTAACGGCTTCCTTTTGCACAGTTCCTTTCCTGAGCCCCATCCCTGGAGGCCCTCTGACTCCTCTGGCTATTTATGGCACCTCCTGGGGGCCTGGCTGGCCCCTGGCTTTCCCTTCCAAGTCAGACCAGTTTCCCCTGCTGGCCCCAAAGAGCAGCAGCTAATCTGGGGAATAAGGTGCCTGGAGCAGACTCCTCCCCCCACAGCAGCTGCCACTATACTCTTTTTAGGGCAGGCATTCCCCATCCCCCATGTTAACACTATTGAGTCCGTTTCTGTCAGAACACCCCTCCTGCAGAGGCGGAAACTGGGAAATAAGGTATCTAGTTCAAGGTCACACAAGGAGTCAGGGGGGTGCTGGGATTTGAACCTAGGCCAGCCAGCCTCCACACTGCATGCTTTTCCCCACTGTGTTATGCTGCCTGGAATTGCATAACGGTGAGAGCTGACACTGGCACAGCCTTTCCTGGGGGCCCAACACTGGTCTCTATGGGGCATGAAAATGAACTCATTTACTCCTCACAGGATGTTGGGGTAAGTACCGTTATTATCCTCATTGTATTGGTGAGGAAAGTGAGACCAGAGAGGTTAAATGACTTGTCTGAAGTCACGCAGCCAGAGAGAGCAGAGCTATGTGCTTCCAAGGTCATGCTTATAACCCCTTCACCACTCAGTCCTACTGCTACCAAGATCCCCAAGGCCAGGCTCTGCAGATGGGGGCAAGAAGGGGACTAAGGGTACAAGGAATTTTTGCAGGGAGATTGGACTTTGGAAGCACTTGGTATATGAGGCATGCACGCATGCGTGTGCAGTGAGTGTACGTTTAGAGACACCAGACAGTTGATGACCAAGGATGGACAGCAGAAAGGGAATTCTCCCCATCTGTTCTTGCAGAATTCTCCCAATTCTCTCTGGAGGGCAGTGGGAGAAGGAACTGAATTAGGCACAGGATAAGCTGCAGTTTGTTCTCCTCTATCTCCTTTCCCATGGTCATTTCAGAAAACATTTGGAGGTCCTAGGAGGTGGCTGAGAAGGAGGGGACAGATCAGTCATGGCCATTTGTTGTGTCTCAGCCGGATGCTTATCTGCCCTCACTGGGAAGGGAATAGAAAGGCCAGGAGGCGGCTGGTGGAAAATAGAAGCTTCCCCAGGGGAAGGTTTAAATTCTTCCTCTGTGAAAGCAGATACCTTGGGAGTGCGTTGATGGAGTGGGTGATTTATGTGCAGGGACAGCTGGGACCCCAACAGCCTGTTGTCCCAGAGACCCAGCTCAGGCATGTCCGCCCCTCAGTCACTACTGAGATGAGGTACACAAACAACCGGCTGCAGGCAGCAGACACTCCCCCTGGCGGCAGGAGCCTGCGCCCTCAGGCAACCGCTCTGTTGACATAAACATGAGGTGTCCCGAGCTTTGGCCCCGTGTGGGGAGGGGGCCAGGGGTCTCCCAGGGTCTGAGGCTGAGATGGAAGAATGCACTAGAATCACAGGGCATGCCAGGGTTTTCAGTCTGATCCTGGGCAGGACACAACGCTTGGCTTGCCATGCAGGACACCCTGCCCCAGGCAGGATGGTGATAGTTGGGACTTTCGTCCTGGTCACCATGGCCTTCCAGTCCAGCAGCCACTCCCAGCACCACCTGGTTATGCGGCTGGTGCTTTGAGTCTTTGAGGAGAAGGATCTGATAAGAATCGTGCACATTAAGATGACTAATAGTGTTCCGCTTTGTAGGGGTGTTTGCAGGGCCAAAGAACCTACTTTGGAGAAAGCAATAAACTTAACAATCAACATTTGAGAGGTGACTTTCAACCCTTAGAATGAAAAAATGTGAGGAGGAGGTACAGATGGAGGGGCTAGGGGCTTTTCTGGTGCTCCTCTGAGCAGATGATTTCTGCGTGGGCTGTGGGACCCTGGCGATATAGGTGCTAGAGGGGTCAGTGAGGCTGAAGGGACACTGTTGAGGCCCTGGGTGAGACACAGAGCTTCTCCCGGCTTGCTTGCCAGAAGAGAGGGTGGGCCTCAGTGGGCGAGGGTTCCTGACAGTTAGGGACAGGGAAGGAGCCTCCATGGACTCCGCCAGAGGATAAAAGACAGAGGTCCCAATCTGAGGGGGTCCAGACCAAAGCCAGCCTTTGTTTGGATGGGTGACTTTTATGCTAATGAGGATCAGCAAAAAGTCCTTAAAACAAAAGAGGCTTGTGCTTGTTTTCTGGGACTTCAAGAAAGAGGAACTTGAGGGTACAGGGGAACCCCAGGAGATAGAACAGATGTGGGTTCTATCTAAGGACTGAAAGTCACCTCTACCTGTCCATAGGTAGGAGGGGCCTGAGGCGCACAGGGAAAACACTTCCTGGGCTCTTCCCCCTCCTAGCCTAGCTGACCAACCTTTGTCCACTGGACATACCCCTACTGTCTGTCAACCTCACCTGCCCCCTGTGTCTCCATGCCACAGATATTTGCAAAGGAGGGAAGAATGAAGCATTCAGGGAGGAGGAAAGGATGGGTGAGGGTACAGTAGAATGAGACAGACCGTCTCCTGGGGTTGCTGTTTTACCTGGTCCTGCTCCCTGCCTCTCCAGACATTGGTTGGGAGATCAACACAGTCCAGGAAGGGCTCATCTCTCCCCCCACCCCACTGAGTGAACCATATTCAGAAGGTATGTACCCACTCAGGCAAATGGGAAAACTGCCCCAGGACAGAGAAGCACACACACATGGTCTGGATGGTGGGATCCCAGGACACATCTGCAAAGACAGGAGGCAGCTCCGTCTCTGTTTAGGCACAACTCTAGGGAAGGGGCAGAGTGTACTCCAGGCTGGGCTCAGGGCTGGAGTTGGGGTCAGGAAGGGCAAGAGGCCCAGCATGTTGAGCAACTGGGGAATTAGAGGCTCCCACCCAGGACCCAAGGAGCTGGTGCAGAGGGAGATTTTCAGGACTTCTTTGAAGTCAGAGGATGAGAATTGGAGATTGGGATCTCATAATTTCTGGCTATTTCTGCACAAAGCTAAGGAAGCCCTTTAGTTTCGCTCATATCGTATCAGACGGTCATGTTATTCCAGGCTTGGGACATTGCCCAAATCAAGCTTCCTCCTAGGGCCAAGTATCCAAAATAGGAGGTCTCTGGAACCCTGGGTTTGTGGCATCAGCTTACCCCAGGGAGCTCCAAGTTATGTGATAGGCATGGTGCAGCTCCTTAGAGCGTCGGCTTAACTCCTAGAATTAGCTGGCCACATGAATAAAATTGGTAGCAAGTATTTATAATGCCTATATGAGATGAGGGTGATAATATGATAATGACAATTACTTCTGGGGTGTCTTCTTGTTTAAGGTCATAGCAAAAATGGAGCTGGGATGAGAACCATGGGGTGTGTGGCTTCCTAGCCCATCCTCAACCAGTATTTATAGATTACATTTATAAATTTCAAACAGCTACATGTATAAATGCAGTTATAAATTTAACTAAAACCAGATTAAAAATATTTGATCAAGGTAAAGACAAAAATCCACATGAATGTGTAAGAAAAAGAGCCCGTCATTTTGCGTGTGTGTGTGTCAGGCTAGCTAGCCCACAGTAGGTCATTCATTCTCCTGGCTCTTAGGAAGTTTGGGAAGTCTGCCAAGGTCTCGGAGCAGGCTGGGTGTCCAATTTTAGCGTGAATCAGAGCCATATGTGCTTATTAAACACGTGGCCTCCTGAGTTCACCTCTTTGGAAAGCTAACATTTATTAAGCACTTTCTCTGTGCCAGACACTTTTTAAAATTATCTCACTTACTCTTCCCCCACATTCTATGAGGTCCCCATTTTACAGATGAAGAAAATGAGGCATAGACAGTGAAGCAAGATGTACCAGGTTACCAGTCAACAAGTGAGAGTCAGTATCCAAGCCCAGGCTGATCTGACCCCAGGGCTGAAACTGAAAATCACTGCTTTCTATATAGTCTTCATTCCCCAAGATGATCTGATTCCGCGGGTCTGGAGTGGGGCTGGATTCCAGGCCTTCCACAAGTGCCCCAGGAGGTCACCGGGCCACACTTTGAGAAGCAACATCCTGCGGCAACTGTTTTCCGTCTGGCTTCTAATCTCAATTGGAACCACCTAATAAAATTTAAAAACTACTAATGCCCTTCCCTTTTTCAAAGAGAGATTTTTTAATTGGTCCAGAGTGGCTTACAGGTGTTAGTGGGTACCGGCCAGCATTTTCCTTTAATGGGACGATGTGTTCATGTATTTAATCAATCAACCAAAAAAGATGTAGGAATACTTACCCTGTGTCCTGTGCTGGGGACACAAAGGTGGGTGGAACAGTGTGTGGGCCTTCCAGGAATGCAGGTGACCAGCCTTCCTGGCTGGGCAGAGCCTGCCCTGAGTGGAGGAAGGGAGGATGCAGATTTCTTCTTGCTTCTTCTCCCTTGGTGAGCTCCAGAAAGAGCCAGCCTTGTCAGACGATGGTGTCCTCTGGCTTCTCCCCCCTGTGTGGTTCTTGGTCCCTGCCTGAGAGGACATAGTTGGTTCCAGATGGGGAACTCAGTTCACAGAACCACAGAATGTCCAAGTGGAAGGGACCCCTAGAGACCATCCATGCCTGAAGCTCTCAAATTTTAGTGAGCAGCTAGTTAAATCTGAAGATACTTGGAGCCATCCCTGAAGTTCTCATTTGTAGGTCTTGGGTGGAGTCTGAGGAAATCACATTTTTCATAAGCTCCCAAATGGCTCTGGGACACACTCAACATTGGTTCTCAGGCATGCGTGAGGCCTGTGGAGTTTGAAAAACGCCGATGCCCAGGCCCATCCCTGGAAAGCCTGGCTGATATATCGAAAAGCTCCTACCACAAGGTGTCTGGGCCTTCCTGCTGGCCTTGCACAAGACTTGGGGAGGTGGCTCTGGTGCCGCCACTCTTTGCTACCATGAAAGCTTTGAAACAGGAGAAGAAAACGAGAGGAAGGGCAAAATGAAAACAAAGAAGCCAATGAGAAGGTTTGGAAAGACAGAAGTCCAGACAAGCAGCTCCTACTGAATTCACTCACCAGCACCGAGGCTTTTCTTATTATAAAAGCAATTAACAGGTGTAAAAAAACTAATAGTATAAGAAAACAAAAATAAAAAAATGATCTATGATTTCACCTAGCAGAGATCATCACAAAAAGTCTTAGAATGACATATATGATGTACAATATATACTGTGCAACCATATTATATGTTATAATATGGTTATTAATATAACATTAATTGGAATAAATAAAATTTATTCATGTATATAATATATAGTACATAACATACTACATGCTATATAGTATATAACATAACCTAACATATAATGTGATAATATAAATTTGACATGTATAATTAGTATCTTTTTCACTTTATCTACTTTTATCTACTTGTTCTTATGTCACTTTTCAGAAAGATTTTTTTCAGGTAATTAAAAATCTAAGCCCTAAATTTTTTGGCCAGCTTTGGGAGGACATGTGAGTTGGGTAGAGGTGATGTGCCCAGCCTCTCACATACACGTGTGCATTCATTCACATGTGCACACACACATGTACAGGCACTTCTGTTTCCCCTCTGCTGCCCTAGACACCATAAACTCAGATACACACTTCCCATTTATACCCTCAAAGTCAGTAGCACGATTTTATTGATTGATATCACTAAATTAACATTTATTAATCCAGGATTATTAAATGTAAAATAAGTTTCCTTCCTCTTTCCCATTTCTCTGAATTCCAATGGAAACTGGCACTAGGGGACCCAGGACAGTGGCTGCACTGGGGCGAGTCACCTCGAGGGACTCATCAGTCCCTGGCCACCAACCCCCTGCCCCCAGCTCCATGGACCTGTCTGCTCTGTCTGCTCTCTCTCCCACCCCTCCCCTGGCATCCTCTCTCCTCTCCTGTGCCCTGGGGCCTCAGTCACTCTTCTGCCCCGCTGGCTGAGGCTGGTGCTCTGGACAAAGGCTGTCCATCCACAGCCGATAGGCGATGGAAGCAGTCACGGTGAGCCAGACCAGGTAGGGCAGCAGGAGCAGGGCAGCCAGCTTGTTGATGGGGTGCCAGATCAGCGCTGTGCTCACCACTAGCCCGAAGAGCAGCAGCAGGTGGAGCAGGGCCTGGGCGGGGGCAGGGCAGTCAGGCAGGCTACCTTGAGAACCAGGCTTTGACCTTTCTTTCTGCAGCAGCCTGGACCCAGTGAGCCAGGTTCCTAGGACTCTGTGCGCTCAACTGGAGCTCAGTCTGCCCACCTGCTACCTGCCTGTCTGCACTTGATTGATCAGCTGTGTTATCTGCTTCTGGGGGCCTCACCTTCCCCTCCACTACTTCTCCTGCTGAGCACTGTACACCTTACCAGACCAGGGGCGTGGGCTGCAAAAAAGAGGATCAGAACGGTCCAGCTGATGGTGAGCTGCACAGCATAGAGGCCAAGAGGCAGGGCCAGGGGCCGCCCAAAGCCCCCTCCCAGGTCCTTCCACACCAGGTAGGATGCATAGCTGTGGAGAGATGGCGGCAGGTACACTCAGAAGGAAGGTGCCGTGTGGCAAATGGAGTAAGGCCTCTGACATAAGAACTCTTGGTTACTGAGAGGGAACACCTGTGGGTGGAAATGGAGGCAAGAGGAGCTAGGCATCGTCTGAGGGGAGGAGTTGGGCATGGTGGGGTGGGTGAAGGGGTGGGGAGATTGGGGGAGGGTGGAAGAAGAGGGTTGGCTGGAATGAGAGGCAGTCACAGAGGAGACTCACCATAAGAGGCACAGTGGGGTGCCATCCCTTTAGAGGCTGGCATGCAGCAGTACTTCAGGCCTAGGGGGACTTGCTCCCACCCCAGCAGGTGCCAGGGCCATGGCATGAGGAAAAAGTGCTTACCCCATGAGAGAGAAGATGGTCATCCACACTGGCAGCAAGATCTTGTGAGGCGGGCACCAGGAAAGCTTCCTCGGGCCATCACACCAGCCAGACATCCGACGGCCGGCAAGCAGCCAGACCACGATGGGCCCCAGGAGGGGAAGAGCCACAAAGATGGCTCCTTGAGGCCACATTCTCCTCAAGAGGCAAAATCTGGGTGGCAAAGAGCATGCTAGTGGGAGTCTCCTGCTAGGCCTCTCCCCGTGTCTGCTGGCCTTTCTCTGCCTCCTCCCTGACGCTGGTCCCTGGCCTGAGCCCCTCACAGGAGGCCTAGTCATAAAGCCTCCTCTCCCGCCCCCTCTTGCGCCAGCTCCCATCCCACACTGACTTGCCCTTTTTCTGGCTTCCACACACTTATTTTCTTGACACCACTCTCAGGCACTCGGAGCGTCCTGTGCAGTATTGGTAAGTGCTTCTGAGCGGAACGTCCCCCTCCTGCAATGTGTATCTGACTCTGACTCCTGGAGCTGAGGTCCAGGTGTGACCACCTTCACCTCCCACAGTGGGTGGCCCTTGGCCAGGTATAAAGCTCAGACGGAATTCAACTGAGCCAACTTAACTACCCTGGAAGGACCGTGTTCGGTGGGCAGCAGCCAAAGATCCCTGGGGGTCTTTTCTAGTCAAGGATAGCCAGCCCATGTGCCCCAGGCTTATCTCACTACACCACACTGGCAAATTCAAGGGACCCACCCAGCCCGAGCTCCTGCCCAAGTTCAAACACAGCCGAGGGCCACTGTGGGCTCCCTTCTCTGAAGCCTTAGCTCTCGCCTACCCCTCAGGGGCTGGGGAAGCTTTCTCCTGCACCTCTCCACTTCCAGAGGGTCAGGGTGTAAATACAAGTGTACAGATTTCTTGTGGCATGACTTCTCAGGCAAACAACTGACTGGTTACAAAGTTGCCACGGTCCTTTGCACATTGCTTTGCCTGTCATTTGCATGTGGGATGATGCACAGACCCTCCTCCCATCAAGGACCCCACCCATTATCATTCTTCTCATTGCACATGATATTTCAGCCTCCTCTCCGTGCTTGTCAGGATTGGCAGGAAAAAAAAATGTGGTTATCCTTTCTCAGTGTCCTGGAGTGATGGCCTACTCTAACTTTTCCTGTCAAGGGCCCCTGACCACATCCTGGGGGTTCTGGGGACAGGGCTGACCAGCCTGCCTGCCTGTGCATCTTTCTATTTATCTTTCTCTGCTCCTCACTGTCCATTTATTCATCTTCTGCCTTTCTGTCTCCCTGTCTCCTTGTTTTCTGTTGTTCTATCTAGTGTTGGAGGGTTCCTCTCCACCTTCTACACCCTCATCCTCTTTTCTCCTGCTCTCCACCACTCTCAGAGCCCCCTTCTTCCCAGGCCCTTGTCCCCCTTACCTCAAGCAGCACTCCTCCCAGACCCAGTGCTTGATGATTTTCGATATGTGGAAGGCAGAGGAGGGTGGGGGATGAAGAGAAGGGTGGAGTGGGGCTCCCAGCTGGCCTGCTTTTCTCCAGTGACAGGGGTGGTAACATTGGCTGGGGAGTCCAGATTGCTGCCTGCATGGCTCTGAAGGTCTCCTCTTAGCAGGGTTGCCCCTGCTTTGCTAGACCTGGCCTCTGCAAGGTTGCCATGATGGACTGGCAGAGGCTGTGGCACTGTGAGACTTGGACCTCCTGTGACAGGTCAGCCCCAGGCTGCAAGGCTGCTGATGCCTGTGGTCTCTGCATCCTGTGAACCAGCTTTGTGTTCAAGGGGTGGTGAGGACCCTCTCATTTCCCCAGAACTTTCATGTAATTGGGATTGTCCCCTAGTAAGGCAAGCACCAGCTTTGGAAATGAGTCTATTATACATGGACACAGCTCCTGCTAATAGCCGAGTTGGCATGGCCCTTCTGGCTTGGAACTTGAGCTTGACAGATCTTGCCCTAAGCCCCAGAACTTCATGACTCAGAGGAGAAGGCAGCCTCCTGTGTGACTCAGACAGAGCTTTGTTCCATAAAGACTAACACCTGCCCTCTTGTTCCCTATCAAAGTTCTTAGCACCTCTTCCTTGCTGTTCTTTAGGCATGAGGTCCCCTTTCCAGGTTGGCTGATCTCCACCATCTCTTTGCCCCACCTCTCTACCTTGGGGACTCAGGTGCCGCTGGAAGGTGTTTATCCCATCCTCTCGCCTCCAGCCAGGAAAGGCAGCAGGGGTGGGGTGGGGGGTTACAGTCAGAGACCAGAGGCTAGAGAATCATTAACTGAGATGAGAGCAGCGGCAGTTACTTATTTTCTGTGGGAGATGATAACTGGAGCCTGGAAGTTCACTGAGGTTTGTCAACCGCAGGAGGCCAGACCATGGGGATAACAGTTACCACTTACTAAGCACCCAGTTTGTGCAAGCGTTTCACCTTTGTTAGTTCAATAATGACAGTGCTTATTATTTGCAGCTCAGAAGGTAGATATTATAATCTGCATTTGATAGACAAGGGAAGTGAGGCTCAGAGGGGTTGAGTGACTTGTCCAAGATCACACAGCCAACAGGTGGGTTCAGTGTTGGCAGTCTGGCCCTGAAAATCACCTGTTTTTTTCTCTCAACTGGCCCACTCTTTCATTTGGCATTCTTTATTGAGCACCTATTATGGAGCGGGCTGTACCAGGAACTGGGGAAAGAGAGGCAAACAGGTGGAAAAAAGTCCCTCTTCACAGGGAGCTTTCACTTCAGTGGCAACATCTATCCCAGGCAGTTTCTAAGGAAAGACTCAAGTTGCAGTAAAACCCTGCCAACTCTGAGAGTGGGTGGTGGAAAGAGCACTGGATGGGGAGCAAATATGGGTAGACCCCAGTGCCACCAGCGACTTGTGTGACTCATTACCCTTCCCAGCGCCTCCTCCCGCATCTCTGTGCAGGAAAGGGGTGGAACTCCATTCTGTCTGAGCTTCCTAGACTGACTCCCGGGACTAGCATCAGGTGGGGGCTTCTTAGAGATGCAGAATCTCAGGTCCCATCATGGATCAGAACATGCAGTTTAACAAGATCCCTCAGGTGGCCCCTGTGCATGTTATTGTTTTAGAAGCTCTGGTTATGGTCTTCTCTCAGCTTCTGCCATTTCAACAGCCTCTGGCAGGGGATGGCCACTCACCAGCAGAGGGCACTGGAGGGAGGAGTTGCTTGCACCTGTACCCAGGCTGTCTCCCTTCCAGACCTAGACTGGTGAGTCCACTGACTTCTGGGATCCTCAGCTACTCCCTTACCTAGGCTGGACTTTGCCAACAGTCAGGGACAGACACCCCCTCAGCCCTCTTTAGGGTACTGGGAGGCAGGACTCTGCCGGGAAGCGCCAGGCCACTCCCACCTGGATTCCCCGCCCACCTCCACTGTCACCTGGCCTGGTGACAGGGTCTGGCTGACCTGTTTCTCAGAGAAGGAATTACTGTTCCTGGACAAGCCAGCAGTCCTTGGGGACACCTACACGGTAAGGTGGGCACCCTCCTGAGGTAGCTGGTGTTACGGGGGCATTGTGATGGGACATCTGGGGCCCAGGGGAGGAGCCCGGCCAGCTTAGCCCGGGCCTACCAACGTGTGGGGACTGTCTGCTGGAGGAGAAGGAAAAGGGGCTCAGGGGAGGGCCACTACCTGGAGGGTGTGAGGATGAGGGGCATGATCCTATGCACCAAGGAAATGCGTACCAGGCTGATGAATGTGCCCTTGATTTGCATTTGGACTCAGCCATCCTACTGCTTTTATGTCCTTGGATACCTGGAGATCTATGAAGGGACTGAGGAGGATGGGAAGAGCCAGTGATGCTGGAGACGGGTTGAGAGTTTCCTCAAGGATACAAGCAGAGCATTGCAGCAGGGCCTGGATCCTTGTGGTAGGAAGGCAACTTCCTAGGGACATGTGACACCCTTGTCTTGGGTCCCTGCTACCCAGGATGATCTGGGGTCAGGGCAGGATGAACTGGAGGCAAGGGCAGTAAGAAGTCAGGTGTGGGGTTGGGGAACCCCAGTCTGCATTTAGCTGCTTGTGGTGCTGGAGATTTGGGACCCATGCCCCTCTCGGGGAAAGGGGAAGATGGAGTGAGGGCCAAGGGGGCCTGGAGACCTGTCACCTGGAGAGCAGGGACTGAGCACGGTGGAGGAGATAACCTGCTCCAGACCAGGTAACCAACGGGCTCCCCGTGAGAGGCCCAGCAAGGCTTTGGGGAGTGGTACATACCAACCGCTCCAGGTTGGAGGCTGGGCAAGGGGATTCTGCTGTGCCACCCAGTGGGGTAGAGGGGATATGGACTCTGGTCTCTGGAGGCCCCAGGAAGGTTGTCGCTATAGAAACAGAATGAGCCCCTCCTTTCTTTCAGGTTAGCTGGGCCATCAACAGCTCCTGGTGGCCGGGCGGGCAGGGGCTGGTGGGGAGGGTGTCACTCACTCTGGAACCAAGGATATGCCTTTGTTCCTTCCACTTATTTTTATTTTTGTTTCTTTCTCTTCCAACTTCATTTCCTTTAGAAGTGGAAAGAAAGAGACCTTGGGGAAAAGGAGGGGCAGGGAGAGAAAAGGAGTGTTTTTTGAAGTCCTGTCACCCCTGTTCATCCCTGGCTTCTACCTTCAGTTGTAGCTAAATAATCTCCTGTCCGTCCTCACCGTCCTCACTGTGGGGAGAAAACTTGGCTTCCTTATCTGTGAAATGGAGATAAAAATAACATGTTGCTCATAAGGCTGCTGTGAAGATCATAGGCCACATAGAGGGTTTTAACTCAGTGGCAGAGAGCAGAGCCCCATAAATGCTAGCTATTCTTATTATTACAATAATAATTCCAATTATCTTTAATGTGGATGAGCCAAAGGAATGGATGGGACATAGAGGGAAGCCTGCTGCTCCAACCCCCATTCCCACCAGATTTGGGGCCTTGCCAATGCACTCACTTCATTTGTGTGCCTCCCAGGAGGCTGGGCCGAAGCAGGCTGCTGCTCTGTTTGCAGGGTGTGATTTTAAGGCAGAGGGGACAATGCCACCCCTTCCCTTCCTGTTTCCTGTCTACATTTTCAGTGAGGACCAGGGCAGAGAGGTCTTTCCTTAGTTTTCAATCCCGAGGACACAAAGGAGCTTCTGCTTCTGCCTGGGAGGACCTGGAAGGGGGCTTATAGTTTTTGAATCTCAAGGAAGGAAGGAAGGGGTGGGCAGGGAAGGAGCAGTAGGTTTGGGGTAAGGCCTCAGCTCCAGCTGGGTGGTGTGAGGGAAGGCAGTGGGGAGCAACAGATGCCGGAAACTTTTCTAGTGCAGACCCTGTTGAATCCGCTGCGGGGAGCCGGAGATCTTTGAAGGAAGATACTGTGGGTAACGTGGGTTGAATGAATCCATTGCTCAGAAGCTCCTTGAGAGCTGAATAAGATGTCATCTTTGGCAGGGCTGAGCTTCCCACAGTGCCTGGTACACAGCTGGTGCTCAGCAAGTGTTCATTTGAGTGGGACAACCATGTGACAGCATATAGTCAAGAGTTGCTCAGTGCATGTGAGCCAGGGGCAGGTGCTATAGAGCAGGAAAGGGTCCAGGTGGGTAGATGAGCAGGCAGGGGAGGCAGGTGAGGGGTGAAAGGGAGAACAGCAGAAGCAAAGGCCAGAGGCTAGATTTAGTGAGGTGTGAGGAGCCCATGGCCCGACTGGAGTACAGGGTGTTAGAAATTTAAGGGAGGAAGAGAGAAAGTAGGAGGGGGAGGCAGTAGATGCCGGAGGGCCTCAGGGAGAGCTGACATCTGTAGGGAAAGCTGCCGGAAGGGCCAGGTGGTCCCAGGTGATCACCAGCTAAGAGGAGGGTCAGTGTATACTTTTGCACGGCTCATTCCACCCTAACTGGAGGCCCCCACTTTAGTTTTTCTTTCTCTTTTTGTTTCCACTTTGAACTTTTGTTACTCTTGCTGTATTCATGAACCCCTGTGAGTTAACTTCTGACTTTTCTGGAAGAAGGTGGGGCAGAAGAAAAGCAAATATATTTGGACAGTGCTTTATCTTCTACAAATGCTTTTCACATGATCTTACGCCATCCTCACAATCACTCTGAGGGGTAATTTTTTTTTTCACTTTTAATAGCTGTTAAAAAGAATGACAAAGTTAATATAAAATACATGCTTGGTGTGAAAAATTCAAAGACTATGGAAGAAAGAGTTTGAGAAAATTGAAAGTCCTCATTCACACCTTCTCCTCTCTCAATTTCTCATCTCTTTCAGTAATGACCAGTGGAAATAGTTTGGGGGTGCCTCCTCCCAGACCTATGCTTTCCAAGGCAGAAATTACTAGCACGTATGGCTACTGGGCACATGAAATAGAGCAAGTCCCAAACGCGATGTGCTATATAAGTGCAAAATAAATACAAAAACTCGGTATGGATTTCAAAGGCTTCCTATGAAGAAAAGAGTATAAAATATCTCAGTCGTTTTATATTGACTACCTGTCAGAATGATAGTACTTTGAATATATTGGGGTACATAAAATATATTATTAAAATTAACTTCTCTTGTTTCTTTTTATTTTTTTAATGTGGCCACTAGGAAGTTTAACATTACATATGTGGCTCACATTTGGTTTTTATTACATAGCACTGCTCTAGACTTTTCTGTAATTTACATATACACACCCATAAATATGTATCTATTCTTGTATATAGTTTTGCTATTTATGTTCATGAGGTCAGAGGGTGTCTAGCTGTCTGTGACTTGCTTTTCCACTTAAAGATTTTTCTCTATCAGTCAGAACACATAGATCAAGGTAGATATTTTGACAGATGAGGAAACTGAGGTATACTTAAGCAAGATGACAAGCTCACTTAGCCAGTGACCAAAGCGGCATTTGAACACATTCTCTAGCTCTAAACCCAAGCTCTTTCTGCCTCAGAGGAATTTAATTTAATGTACTAGGTCATGGTAGATAATCTTGAGTAAGAGAGAGAGAGAGGTGAAGTTCTAATAAAGGAATCAATCTGATTGGGGCACCAGGGCGCACTGGAATGAAGACCATTTGCTCCCTCATGTAGCTGCTTGGAAGCCAAAGCTTGGCCTCCACGACATTGTAAAGGCTTACCTTGCACTGACCCCTTTTCCTCCCCCAGGCCCTTGACCTTGGCTGGCACAGGGGAGCAGGGGAGCTGGATATTAGCATTGAGTGACCAGGCGAATGTGCTCCCATGAGAGCTGTTTCCAACCTGCCCTGTTCCTACTGCTTGTGGGGGTCCCTGTGGCAAGCGCCCTCCTTCTGGCCCAGTGCCTTCGATGGCACTGTCCTCGCTGGCGGCTGCTGCGGGCCTCCTGGAAGTTGGACAGCCAAGAAGAGCCAGTGCCCCATCCCACTCCCCTACCAGAAAATGAGGCCTCCAGGCAGTGCCCGCCAGCCACACTCTCGGAGATGGCTGCCTTCTACCAGGAACTGCATACACCTACCCAAGGCCAGACCATTGTCCGTCAGCTGATGCACAAGCTGTTGGTGTTCTCAGCTCGAGAGGTGGATCACCGCGGTGGCTGCCTGATGCTCCAGGATACGGGCATCTCTCTGCTCATCCCACCAGGTGAGGGCACCTGGATCCCTCCTCTGTGTACATTGCATAGTGCCCAAGGGTGCCACACCTAAGGAAGCATCATTCACTGACATCTTCATAGTTTTGAAAATTGTTTATATTTTTCTATGACTTTACTGACTCCAAAGATGGATATGTTACATATTTTTATGACAACTTCCTGACAGGTGGAAGCAAATGCCCTGTTCTAATGAACGGTATGTCATGACAATTCTCCAATAAAGGAGAATAGAGTGTCTGGAAGAAGAGTGCCTTTTGCAAATTCACACAGCCCCGTGGGCTAGTGGCAGCCCTGGAAGGAAGGGGGTGTCTTGCTCAGGGTTGCACCACAAGTCAGCTCACAGTCATCCTGCTTTCCCTGTGCGCCCTGCTAGGCGCCCTTTCTCTGGGGCTCCCATCCCCTATCCCCTCCCACCGTGGCCTGGCCTCGCCTGGGGCAGTGGTATGCCTGCCTGCCAGGCCCATCTCAGCTCTCCACCTCCCTAGGTGCTGTGGATGTGGGCCGCCAGGAGCGGGTATCACTGGTCCTTGTGTGGGACCTGTCTGATGCTCCGTCACTCTCTCGAGCCCAGGGACTGGTGAGCCCTGTGGTGGCATGTGGCCCCCATGGGGCTTCCTTCCTGAAGCCCTGCACCCTCACATTCAAGCACTGTGCTCAGGAGCCTGGCCACGCCCGTGCCTACAGCAGCAATACAACCCTGCTCGATGCCAAGGCCTGGAGGCCGCTGGGGCGGCCGGGGACCCACACCTCACGCGACGAGTGTCGCATTGACCTCTCCCACTTCAGGTAGGTGCAACCCATCGGCCTGTCCTTCTTGCCTCTTTTTCTCTGCCTCATACTCATCTGTCTGCAATGGAACTCCTTTATCTGTCCCAGATGGCCTGCAAATCCCATGTCCCCATATCCCTTCCTGGTCCCTCTGTCCTCGTGTCTATGGCAGCTGGTCTCACCCCAACCCTGTCCAGGGCCACACATCCCAATGTCATCTCTCTGCCTGTCTACAAAGGTCTGACTCAACCCTAGCCCTCTGTCTAGAGGGGGCCTGTCCCATCCCCACCTTTGCGGATCTAAAATTGTCCATTTCTACCCTGTGCCCTGTTCAGGACTAGGACGAAATGCCAATTACAGTTGGTCCCCTCCAGTTCTCTAAGACTCTTCCTTTCTAGGCTCTTAGGTCCTTCTGCCTCCCAGTTTCCCTGCCACCCACTGACTGGGGCAGGGCCAGCCATGCGTGGGGCCACTCCCAGGCACAGAGGCCCTGAGCTCACCTTCCCTCGCTCCCGTGCTGGGGGGTACTGGCTGGCTCTTTTCCCCACTCAGTGATGGTCACCAGGACATGACGCACTGTTTGTTCCCCTGCTGCCTCTCCCGCCCCTCAGTTCCTGCCCTATGGGCCCTGGACTGTTCTCCTGGGCTCCTTGGGGGCTCCCCACAGAGGCCTCTGGGAAAGTGGGAGCTGAGTGGCAGGTGCACTGGGGTCCCGGCCACTTGTGTGCCTGCTCCCTGCCACTGCCTCCCTCTGCAGCCTCTACACCTGTGTGCTGGAGGCGCCTCTGGGCCGGGAAGCCCGCAAATGGCTGCAGCTGGCTGTGTTCTGCTCGCCACTGGCACCGGGTCAGTCCCACCTGCAGCTGCGCATCTACTTTCTCAACAACACACCCTGTGCCCTGCGGTGGGCCATGGCCAACGAGGAGCCCCACGGTGGCCGCCTGCGCGGGCCCTGCCAGCTCTTCGACTTCACCGGAGCCCGAGGGGACCAATGTCTGAAGCTCAAGTACATCTCTGAGGGTGAGGGAGGGCAATAGAGAGCTCCACAGAGGGAGGGGCCTGGGGTAGAAATCTGGGAACCTCAAGTTTCTTCCAGACAATCCTGGGCAGGGAGAGTGTCAGGGGGGCACAGGCTTCTGCTGCTGTTTCTAGGGGCCCCCAGGCTTGGCCCACTGCCTCCCTCCATGGCCCTCTTAGCCCTGGTTTCTCCATGGGAGGACAGGGTGATGAGTGGTGGGGGGAGGGGAGCAGAGGTGCTGCATCCTCCCAAATAGGGAGGGAGAGGGAGGCTTTTATTGTCCCATCTGGATGGAGCAGGTGTCGGAGGAGGAGTCCCAGTCTTCTCTGCCCCCTTTCCTTTGTGGCTTCTGGAATTGCTGAGGGGCGTTTGTGTGGCTGTGGAGAGAGCACATATGCATGGCTGCTTCTGGGGGTAGGATGGGAGGTTGGGGGGTGAGAAGGGAGGGTGGAGGGTCGGGGGGGAGGGAGACCACTCAAGGGTCCCCAGCCAGGCTCTGGGGACTCCCACCCACCCTCTGAGATGCTCTCGTGTCTTTGCTCCCTCCTTGCCCCTCCCTACAGCATCCTGCATGGCGCCTGCCAGGTAGGCCTCCTCAGACACCCGTGGAAGGCCCCACTCTCTGAGGCCCTTCCCTCTCTGTCCCCTTCCCAGGTTGGGAGAATGTAGATGACAGCAGTAGCCAGCTGGTTCCCCATCTCCACATCTGGCATGGAAAGTGCCCCTTCCGCTCCTTCTGCTTCCGGAGAAAAGCAGGTAGTGAAGGAGCCCCGAGTCCACCGCCTGCCCTCTCCCCTCCCCTCCCGGCCACCCTAGGGCTTGGCAGCTCCTATTTGGTCATGCATGCAGACCTTCTCTTAAAGGCGAGGAGCCACAGCAGATCTTTGCAGAGGGAAAGATGGAGCGTCCTGCTCAGCTTCTTCAGATTTCCAAAGCCTTACTGTAGAGTCCCTTTCAACCTGTCCCGCTCTCTTACCCCAGGCCTTATCCCCCTCTCACCTGCCACACCTCCTCTTTGTAGCCAATGAGAATGAGGACTTCTCGGCACTAACCAATGAGATCATTGTCACCATGCACACCTTCCAGGACGTAAGTGGAACTGAGGGGCAAAGGAAGGAGTCCTGGCAAAAACCTGGGGGAGTCCTGGGCAAAGTGGCTGACGGTGCCCAGTAAGCATGGCCCTAATCATATAATCGAGCCAGTGAAGATGTATTCTTCCAGGGGCTCAGACCACCTGGCCTCCAAGTTACTTTCCATCCCTGACTCTTGTCTTGTGTAGCCATGGATGAATCCAGGAGGAGGGTAAAGGAACCCAACACTAGACTAACCCCTTCTCCCAGCCCAGAGGAACCTGGGCATCAAAGAGAAGTGGTTTCTGTCCAGGCGGACTGTCTGCATCTGAGATGATGTGCACCTTCAGGGTGGAGAGTGACCAGGAAGGGGGGTCTTGAGTAGGCGGGAGTTAGAAATCCCATTCTTCCAAGGGGGAAGATGTAAGGGAATCAGGCTTGAGAGTTTTTGGGGAACCATGGTGGCATCTTAGTGGAGAGGAAATAGATATCCCTCAGGGCGTCACTTGGGGAGGAGGAACCAAGGACAGTAGGGATGGAGAGAAGGGACCACATATACCTGAGTTCAGTGTCTCTACTTTTGAATGACCTCCCCCTGCCCCTTGACCCTACCCAGGGCTTCTCCAGGTTTCCTAGGATGCATGCACCCTGTTTGGTCTTCATGTCCCAGGTCCCCAAGAGCTGAGTAGGCAAACTGAAGGCTGAAGGCTCTGGGCTTAGGGAAGTAGAGGGCAGGGGGTCCTGGGTGGGGTGCGACTCTGTGTCTCTGGGTGACAGGCTGAAGGAGAGACATGAGGAATGGACGGATATTCCCTAGCTTCTTGCTCAGGAGATGTCTCTGATCCTTAAGTGTTCCCTACCTCTCTGTTGGCCCAGGGCTTGGAGACCAAGTACATGGAGATCCTCAGATTCCAGGCATCAGAGGAGGAATCCTGGGCAGCGCCACCCCCTGTCTCCCAGCCATCCCTGTGCAATAGGTGAGGAGGGGTTTTTTGGGGCTGCCACCTGGGGAATGTTTGGGGTTCCTGTCCCAGTGCCATCAGGGTGAAGACAGCATTTGGAGTGTGCATGGGACCAGACTGGGTCTCTCTGATCCTCTCCTCTGGGAACACCATTTCTCTTCATCTCAGGCTGCCTCCAGAGCTCTTTGAGCAGCTGCAGATGTTGCTGGAGCCAAACAGCATCACAGGCAATGACTGGCGTCGCTTGGCCTCCCACCTGGGGCTCTGTGGCATGAAAATCCGGTAAGAAGGATGAGGTCTGCAACTGGGAGAGGAGGGTGGATTGGGGTGGTGGGGTAGGAGGAGAGTTTCTCAGGACACCTTGGAGACTGAACCACAGACCAGGGAGCAACTTAAAGGTCAGAGAATGGCTACTCCCCACCCTTTCCCCATGAAAGGGTAGCTCTTTCTATTTATCATTGTGTTCTCAGTACCTAGAATGATGCCTGGCTCATAGTAGATGCTCAATAAATATTTTAAAATGAATCAATCAACATGTAAGTCATTAGGTACACACTGAGTGCTGACATGCTGTGCCCAGAGGGGCTGAATGGCAGACTAATAAGAGAATGTGTGCAAAGCATGTGGCTGAGGACCGGGCACATGTTCATTCAACAAATGTTAACAATAATGGGGGCAAGGCAACCATGGTCTCTGCCAAGAGAAATCAGTCAGAGAACAATTCTGAGCTAAGCCCCAGACCCAGACAATGCACACAGTGGTCAAGACTTCACCCAGAAGATGGGACTAGAGCTGGACTCAGCTGAAAACAGGGTGAATTTTAAAGTCATCCTTTTGTTAAACATTTATCAAGTAGCTACTATGTTCTGGAAAACTATGCTAAGCATTGGCATACAAGATGAATGAGACATGGTCTCAGCGCCCAGGAGCTCCCGCCTTAGCGAGGGATACAGAGCTTAACCAAATGAAGGCAAGTCCTTATTGTACGTACCCAATATTGCATAGCAAGTTGAAAACAGAGATACACAATAACCAAAGCTAGAATACTAAAGATCTGTTGGAGCCACGACCAGAAGTCTGAGCTGAGGGGTGCAGAATGGTCTCCTCTACCAGGGAAGCGGGGATTAGAAAGGGCTTCAGGGAGGCCGTGGTGGGGAAGGAGGGTCAGCCGTTCTGTTTGGGGGCAGGGAGTAGCAGAGGTGAGTGTGGGAGTGGTGTGTGCGAGGTGGGGAAGAGAGAGTCCTGAGGAAGGTAGGTTGAGGAGGGTATCAGGGGAAAAGGCAGAAAAAAACAGAGCAAGGCCACGTGGTGGATGACTAGCAAGTCGGGAGGGTGGGCTTGGTTAGTAGGCGATAGAGATTCTGGCAGGTTTTTGAGCAGGGGAGGGTCATGGTAAAAGGCATGGTTTAGACCAAGTGTCCCCTCAGTGGGTGGACGGCACATTGGTCCTGGGACAGGAGGGGTGTGTTTGGGGTGGGGAGGGAGGGAAGGCAAGCAGAGATCATCAGAGCTGGAAGCAACCTTGGAGGTCCTCTCGTCCCCGACCTCGGTGTAGGACGAGGAATCCGGTTTAGGGAGGAGTGGCCTTTGAGCCTGGACAGTCTCGGGTCTCGAAGTCCACCAGCAGAGTCCGCTGGAAGGCAGGCAGGAGCTGGGTAGGCACCAGAGCGGGGGAGGCGTGGCTCTCGCTGCAGCGCCCCTCTCTGGCCCCACACTCCGCCAGGTTCCTGTCCTGCCAGCGCAGCCCTGCAGCAGCTATCCTGGAGCTGTTTGAGGAGCAGAACGGCAGCCTGAAGGAGCTGCACTACCTCATGACCCTCATGGAGCGGCTGGACTGCGCCTCCGCCATCCAGAACTACCTGGGCGGGACGCCGGGAGGCAGCCCCGCCCCGGTCCGCGGGGGCGCCTGGGAGAACCAGGGCCTGGAGCTGGATGAGAAGCTCTGAGCGTCCCGCTGGGCCGGGGCCGGGTGGGGCGCTCTCCGCAGCACTCTGGGCACCGGGAGGCCGTGGGATATGCCTCGACACCTCGGAAGAACATAGCAGGTGTTTCCGGCTGTGATTACTGTCCTCATCAGAATCCTTGGGCGGTGTTTGGGGCCACGGGGTGGCTGGAGTGCCATTGCCAGCCTTCCCGGGTCTGGACCACCCTTGCACCACGCTTTGTCCTGCATGCAGATACCCTCCTGGACGGCAGGGGGCGCAGGAGCCCGGGAGATGGCCCCAGCGTGACCAGTCTTTGGGAAACTGTTAGGGTGCCCTGTTGGCACTCTTTGGGGACTGGTCAATCCATAAGTATTCACTGAGCACTTAGTGACACCCAGCAGTGAACTGATACCATGGGTAATTCTGGAATATATGAGAGGGTTTTGAAGTCTTGACAAGCCCACAGTTCTGTGGGAGGCAAAAGGCACTCATGTGAGCTGAGGGCCAACTCTAAAACAGCAGGTGCTTAGGGGATGTTCCTGTGGTATGAACTTTTCATGCTTTAATAAGAGTTTGAGAAGGCAGGGAGCTGAATATAGGCTGGAGCATTGAGAAAGCTTCACGGAGGATGTTGGAGAGAGGATTTGGATGCACAGAGTGGTTCCCAGAGCTTTAGGTGGGGGTAGGGGGAGATGTTGACTGAACTTAAAAGTAGAAGCCATGAGTAAGCACGGAGTGAGGTGTTCTGCAGCCCAGCCCGGTGGGTGTGAGGTGAGGGGAGGATAAAAGTTCAAGGCCAGATCTAAAGATCGGCAGCTGTACCTGGCTGTCCACTTGTCTCCTTTGCATTCCTTTGTCTCTTTATCCTCCTGTTCTTGCCTGTTTTCCTTTCTCTCTCTGCCATTATCTGTTATAAAATATCAAAACTGAAAAGAAACTTCAAGATTATCATTCTTGCCCAAACTTTTTATCTCCCCTTCATCTTGAACTGTGTGACTTTTAAGTCTCTCTGACTTCATTTTGCTGCCCTCTCTCCTGCAGTCAGTGTCTCTGTCAGTCTATGTCTTTGCACCTTTTTGTCTCTGCCTAGTTGCTGTGCCTGCCTTTCTAGGTTTCTTTCTCTGAAACCCTCAGTCATTGTCCTCAGGCAAGTGTCTTGAAACCAATGTTAAGTTGTCAAAGTATATGGAAAGACACTGGGCTGCCCTAGGAATAGGTGGGTGGGGATGTTTCCCCATGAATCAAGATCCACTTTAGGGTCAGGAAATAAAGGATAGGGATTTAAAAACACCCCAGTCAGTTAACAAATATTTATTCAGCACCTACTATGTGTTAGATACTGTATTAAAAAAAAGATCAATAGGCTGGGTCCTGATAACAGAACAAAGAGTTTGACTCAATTCTAAAAATGTTTTTGTTTGCCAACAGGTGTTGTCAAATTTTTTGGGCAGGCAAAAACAATCTCTCTGGCAGTACTAAAAATTTGCTTCTGTATTTAATTAAAAATTATTAAAGCTTTTTCTATGATGAAAAATATTGTATAATAAAATATGAAAATTGCCTTTCATTGTTCTAACTGTATTTTGCTCAGATTGATAACTTTGAATGTGGGTATGAATGGTTTGTTGGTAGAATTGTCCCAATGAGAGCAGACTGGAGAGAAGCATCTTGTGGATTGTGCTTCCAGGATGAAAATCGTCGGGGTCCAGCATGGTCAATCCGGGAGGGTCATGTCCTTTTTGTTGAAAGCAAGGCTTTGGGCCCCTCCACTCTTCCCCCTCTCCCAGCACCATCCGTCCTGTTCTACCCTTCTCCTTAGTCCTCCCACCCCACCAGAAGCTGCCAGCCACTCCAGGTTGGTGCCTCGGCCTTTCTCCCCCTTCCCTGGGTTCAGGGGTGGACTGCTAAGAGCATCTGTGGCCCTGAGACTCCCAGAAGCTCTCCTTTGTGCTCCCATGTTCTTGCTTTCCATGCCAGCCAAAGGTATCTTCATTTTGTTTTCCTCCCAACCCTGGAACAACTCTTTTTAAGAGTTTCAAGCCTCCTGGAATTGTGAATAGCAGATTCGGGAGTTTCTGTGATGGGATAGAAGGCCCTCTGGCCCCCGCCCAAACTGTGTGCCCAGAGAGGGAGACTCGGAAAGCTTACAGATAGCAGGCAGCCTGACCCCTGTAGGGCAGGTCCTCCCTTTCTCAAATCAAACCCAAATGGCAAGTTATTTGCCAGCACCCAAAGCCCAGATGTGGTGGTTGAGATGGGGGGGGCATTAAGAAACTTAGTGTGCAGCCTGTCTCCAGCACTAGTGCAGCCCTCATCTCCCTGGCTTTAGTCTCTTTGACCTTGGCTGAAGTGATTGTGTTCAAGGCTCTCCAAGGGCCTTCCTTTGATTGAAATGGGCACAGAAATGGTACACTGGAGATCCAGAGGACAGCCACTTGGGGAGTTTTTCCTTTGTGTGTTGCCTTTAAATAGGACAATTGGTCACTGCTTATGGCCTTACCTCCAGCTCTTTCTCTGATGGGTTACCTTCCTGGTCCCTAAAAACATCAAATTTGTCACTTCCGTGCATGTTTTAGAGGCCTCGGCCTGAATTTCCCTACATTGGATTTAGAGCTGGGAGGGGAGTGAGAGGGAAAGGTTGGGCCTAGGTCTGTAGGGTTAGGGCTCCAGTGCTCAGAGGTAAACTGTGTCCTTGGCACCCATCACTGCTGAGCAGCATTCATGCCAATGACCAGAGCTGTGCTGTCCAACAGAAATACTATGAGAGCCACATATTTAATTCTACTCTTTCTAGTAGTCACATAAAAAAATGTAAAAAGAAACAGGTAAAGTCAATTGTAATAATGTGTATACCCTAATATATCCAGAATATAATAATTTCCACATGTAATTGATATAAAAATTATCAATGGTATATTTTATATTCTTTTCTTCATAAAGTATTTGGAGTCTGGTGTGTATTTTACAATTACAGCACATTTTGATTTGTATCGAAAATGTGCTAAATTTTCGTTGGACGTATTTGATCTGTATTTAGCTTTCATAAAATTTACAGCCAAAAAAATACATTTACTTGCACAAGTGAAGCAAGCAAGAAGTTTTCAAAAAGTGAAATTAGGTATATATTTAAAAATTTGAATCAACTGAAATAAAATAAAATAAAATAAAAATTCAGCTCCTCAGTTGCACGAGCCACATTTCAAGTGTTCAGCTGCTATGTGTGGCTAGCAGGTACTGTAATGGACAGGGCAGGTCCGATTACGGATTCAGCTGGGCATAACGTCATAGTGTACTTGATCAACATTTGCTGAATACCTGCCCTGAGCAAGGTGTTAAGTTATAAAAAATTCAATGAAGAAGAATGTTCTTGCTCTGTTAGGAGCCCCTGGGGTGGTGGGAGTCAAAGAGAAGGGCACTCTCCTTCCATTCCTCTCTCTACATGACTCAAGAAGGAAATAGAGGATGAGGTCCAAGCAGACACTCTCTGCTGCAGGAATGGCTCACATTGCAGTATGGTAGAGAGGCCCCAGATTCAGAGTTAGGTATTTCTGGCTTACCCAGCACATCAGGTGGATTCTTAGTTGCTGACAACAGAATCCACTCTGGCTGGGGATTACAGAGGTGATTTTATCCTGAAGGATAAACAATCTGGAGGGCTGAGAAATAGAACTGAGGTAAAGTTTCTGGGAACAACACCCTGCACTGCCCTATAGAACCAGCCCATGGTGGGAAATTGGCAATGCTGTGCCTGCTGCCACTGGGTAGTAGACAGCAGGGACTCAATATTACTGCAGTCACCACTGCCACTCAGGAACCAGCCCTCATCACCACTACTGAAAGCTGAGGCCTCTGCTGCCATCCATGTCAGCACAACTGGAAGGTTCACACACTCCTTGCTTTTTCACGCTACCCATTTCTGAATTAAATCTCAAGCAGGGCTTCAGGTTATCAGAGACTAGATCAGATGCCAAATCCTAGCTGCAAGGGAATTGGGAAACTTGAATTCTGACTTTGATATTGGGGCACATATTCCCAGAAATGGAAAGTACATATCCCCAGAAATGGAAAAAGCTACACAATAGTTGGTAAACTGCCACAAACATGACAGATATCCACTATAGCTAGGGTGCAATTAGTGCTAAGGTCCCGGGCAGCAAACTTTCTGCAAGAAGTCATGCCCTCAGCAGGTGACTGTGTGATTCCACTGACCTTCAGATTCTTGTCAATAAAGCACAACAGCACACAAACCTGAAGATGGCTCTCACACCAATATACCCAAATTTGATTCTTTAATCTAGGATTGGACCTTGACATGTCTTGTGAATGAATATGCAATGAAAGCTTGCTAACAGTGGTAAACTGATTTACTCAGTGCCTTCTAAAGCCTCACATGCCTTCCTGTACTGTAGAGGCTGAAAACAAAACCTGTTTCTGAGACTCCTTGGCAGATGGGGATCCAGCTAGGTTTAGTGTCTGCCAATCAGCTGAACCCACACAGGACTTTGATTTGGCATTGAATGAGGTGGGAATTGAACAGGGTGCAACTAGTACTTATTTGAGGAGCTGAAGTGGTGCAGGAGCCACCAGCTGTGGCAGCACCTTCCTACCTTGGTAGCTTTCTTGGTGTCCTGGTTCTATAGTTTGGTTTGGGGAGTCAGTACTGGAAATCCTGCCTGCAGTCTGTTCCTTCAGCCCTTCCAGTGGTTCTGAGAACTATCTAGACTCCACCATATATTGTTTTGTGCTTAAATTAGCTAGACGGAGACTCTGTAATATACAAGTAAGACTCCCATCCAATGTGCCAATGATGCTTTCTCTGGAAAACTGTCCTTTATTCCGTGATCATGCCTTTCTTCTTTGCTGGTGTCAAGGGTCTATTATCAAGAAAAGATAGTAATGGAGATGATGGTTTTATTAAGCTGTCCTTACTTGGCAAAATAAAAAGGTAGTAACCCTATATTTTTTCCCTTTCCAATTTAGAAAACAAAAAAATTTTGTTGGGCTTTGAAATACAAAAATCTGGCAATACTCTTTTATGGTACCTGTTATCCTTCTTCCTCCTTTTAAAAGCCTTTTCTAGGTATGTTGATTCATCTATTCAGAACACATTTGATTACTTATTGTGCTTAAAATCATGGTAGTTCTTCATTTATTTTCATATCTTTAGGTAAGCTTTCTCATGCTGGCTTTATTCTAGCCTGTGCTAGTTTCTTATTGGCAGAAATGTTATGGCTTCTGGCCAACAAGAAGCTAACGTCAATACCAGCTAGCTAGTGTAGTGTCATAAAGACATTAGCTTGAGGACAGGCATGCACTTTCAATTAGCTATCAAACTTTTAGGTGGGAATAGATTTGTTTCCCAAACAAATGAGGCACGATGCAATCAGAAAATTGAGCATAATATTTAGAAAATGTTACAGTGGGTAAAGATGGGATTATACAAAAGCTCCTTAGTGAGTAGAGAGTAGGAACACTTACCTGATCCATGGAGGAGTGGCCATCTGGTCCCTGGAAAATGCAGAGAAATCTAAGGAGAGTACGTGATCAACAAGGGGGTCGGTGGCATTGGTTGTCTTGGAGACCTACCAGGAAAACCCCCCATCCTGCTTTTGCCCCCTCTCTACCCATCCATGGGGCTTCCCCAAAGTTGGGTTTCTTGAACTTTGGCTGAAGGGGCCTTCTGAGGCTAGGTGGCAGGAGTGGACCACTTTCAGTGCACACGATCCGAGCTCTTGGGAAGCTTCAACTTCTACAAACTCTCCTTCTTTGAGCTATCTTTTTTGACTGTGACTACCTCCTTCTTTCTGGGCCAAGCTGGTCATCTGTGACTCAGGTACATTCCCCACTGAGAGCAGATCAGGTGACCCCCTTACTTCAGCCTTTGTGTCTTTCCCTTAATGAACTCTCTTTAATTTATTTGATTGCATCAGAGCAGAATGTAGTTCCATTCCCTCAAGGCCCAGTCTTGGAATCTTGGTAATATGGGGCAAGTGAGGACTCGGGAACCTCCAGGCATGAACTTAAAACCAGTTGCATTACTTTCCATGAAGACCTGGACAAGTTATTTAGTGTGCTTGCGGTTCCATCTCCTTTTCTGCATGATGGGGATAATACCACCCTCCCTGAAAGACTGTTGTGAGGATTAATGAGCCTGTGAACGTAGAGAACTCAGTCTGTTGCCTGCATGTGGTCTGGTTCAATATTTGGGTCCTTCCTCTTTGTAACACCATGCAGAGACCCCTGGGCTAGAATTTTATTGATTTCAGCTGCAGAGCATCCCATACACCTCTCCAACAGCACCCCAATTTGCTTCCAGCCATCATCTTTTCCCACTGGGAGTAGGCTCAGAGGGAGATAATAGCAAAGGGGCAGATCCTTTCTCTCCTGCCCTTGGTGTAGCTGGGGGGCTGGGGCGTGAGCCATGTCACTATCACTTAAGACACTCAATCCTGGGAGAGTAGATTGAAGATTTGCTATGGACTGAATGTGTCCCCCTAAAATTCAAATATTGAAGTCTGAACCCCCCAGTGTGATGGTATTAGGAGGTGGGTCCTTTGGAGTAATTAGGTCAT